CCTTTTTCTTTTATACCGTTATTACAAAAGTACATGCAAATGAACCACAGCCCCGTCCTGTTCAATTGAAGCAATTCTTTTCACTAATTTGCTGGTCAAAGCTTTACCTTTCTGTGACTTATTCGACGTTTTAATTGATTTCGTTCTAATCAACTTCTTATGTCCTAAGATAATATGATGTAAACGAATTGGTTTCACATTTCCTTTAAATGTCGAGAGGACTGTAGAACCTAAATTCAAACTTCAAAACAAATGAATAATTCATAACAAAGTAAATTTTCAACCATTTTATGAATTTATTTAAATGGAGGAAAATAGACATGAAATCAGATCTTGCCTCCAAAAGATCCAATATTAATTATGAAAAAAAATTTCATGCGTAGAGATACTGAAATTCAAAAGTTGATAATGGATTTGGAAAAGTTTGCGTTCAAAATTTAGCTTAAAATTCTGAAGATACATCCGCTTGTTATTAAATTTTTTTTTCCATTTTAAAATTGTGTATGATTTCATGCTAATAACAGATACTATCACGCTATTAATGTTTTCCATCTAAAATTGAACAGAATTATTGAAGCAGTTGTTATCTTAATTTTTAACAACCTATATAAAAACAAAGCTTGCGATTACAAGCGAAAAGTGACCCTTTACATCTTAACTTCGCTTCATCCCATATTTCAATTCTTCTAAACTTTCCAAAAAAAGGAGCAAAATAATCTATCTTCGCATAATCGCTCCATAAATTATCCTGAAATAAGTGAAAAAAGAAACTCAATAGAAGAAAATGAATGTGCACCTGCTTTTGGTAGAGAATATTTGCTCAAGAAATGAATAACTGTCTAGTTTTTCCGCGAGTCGGATGTCATTCAATCGATTGAAATTAGTATCCAACAATTCATCCGCACGATCTGCAATTTTTCTTTTAGATTCACGATTCCTTTTATTTGAAATTTTTATTTATGTAGAGAGAGGAAAAGAAGCCCCGTTGTAAATTTTAGCAATGTTTGAATGACTACTGAAGATTTTGAGGAAAATACTGGAAATATTAACTCTTTGCATAACAATGATTATACAATGAAATCATCAGCCTAATTCATGATATGTTGGATAATTTATATGGCTCGATTTATAAGAAAGAACTTCTATTTTACTGAAAATTTTTATTCATACATAAATAAACAAGCAAAATATCAAACTTCTCCGTCCTTGTCATCATTACTTAAAGTAATAGAAAACTGATAATTATATTATGTTATCTAAATTCCATGCCATAAGCAAATCACTAATCGAAAATTTTTGCTCCCATAGACCCGCACAAAGAGCGAATGTGATTGCAATTATCAATTATAGTGACACCAAACAACAACAACAAAGTCATGCAATTAGGTGATCAATATCATTCGCTAATGAGATAATTCAGCCTCAAATAATGAATTCCAATTTTGGTTAACTTGAATAAGACACCTGTCAGATGCTTGCATTACTTATCACACTAGCTAATGCTATATTCTTGAATTCAGCGCGTATTGGCGGTTACTATATCAATTGAGATCGACAAACTGATTAAATAATGTTCTGTTTTATGCTTTTTATAGTGATATCACACTGTATATCTGCTGCATTCTACTACTATCAATACATTTAATTTAAATACTAGGAACAGTCAGATATCGCATAAATGGATATTCGGAATTATTCTGCAATTGGACGAATTTCCTAAATCGTTTATCTGACTTAATCGAGAATAAGTTTCCCACATGTTAGAAATTGTTGGTAATGTTGCTCCAGAAAAGTTATGACAACGAATGTTCGGAAAACTAATGCCCCATCCACCTGCTCACTGTTTTACCATTTTCGAGATTTCAAGTCATTAATTAAAACGAACCCATAACGATACGTAGATTACATTCCACCAGGAATTCGCTCTGTACATCTTCGCCCTAATCTACTTTTCCTGAGCAGAATATTCTCTGGTGATTTCCCTAAGCTCCAAAGTCTGAGCTGAATAATGATGAGTTTCAAATACAACATAGAAGAGGTAGTAGATACGTTGAATTCGTGAAAAAATTCAATTATATCAGTTAATGGGGAAATAATACTTTTTTATCTACACCAAAGCTTTTGCTATCCAGAATTTCGCAAGACGATTCGCAGTATAAACGTTCAAAGCTCAATGATTCAACTTTTACAGATGAACTGTACTAACAGCGAATAATACTCATGTAACAAATAAAATAGTAGAGAAACTGAATGTAGAAGAAGTAAATTTCAAATTGTACAGAATAAATTAAAAATAATGAAATGAAAAAGATATCGTGAAATGAACGATGCAACAAGTATCACTACAACATCACGTGAACTCTCGTAGCAAGTTCAAATCAGCGACGTAGCAAGTTTCCTTGTCGAGATGATTGGTATGACAGTACTGCATCGGCAGGAAACTACTCTTATATCTACAAACCATCCAAAGCAATACTGCGCTTACCGTTTATGAAAGTTACGTACTGGCAAATGGTATTCATGTTAAATATAACGCTTATTCCGTCAACATTCAACGATAAACATTATGTGGCACTAATCAAGTGAAAGAAGACAGCGAAAAAAGCAATCAGTTTATACCGCAGCACAGCAGCTCCAGCTTCCAAAAACATCAGATGGATCAGTTAAGGAAAAATCACAGTCTGAATCCCTCACATACGCTTAGGTAAAAAATTGGACAAAAATACCACTCGCTTACGCCAACCTCTCAAAAAATATCGCCCGCCGAGAATTCGCGGCTCTAGGATGCAACTTTTGCATCCTACTGTGTTCAATTTGAAAGATTTGAACATTCCTTCCAGGCATTCTTTATAATAATTGTCATCTGCTTAAAAAGTTCTCTGAAGATATTTGACAAGCCTTAAGATTCAAAAGTTAGGAGAGGACCAGTTTTTTCGTGAAGTTTTTACAAAATTTGCATTTGATATAAACATAGGGACGAAACGATAAGTAGCCGTTCTCTTTGATCTTTTTCCCTTGATATATCAGACATAAAAACCAAGAGAAAGTTATCGGATATCCATTAGAGATGAAATTGTTGTGTAAACAATTTTGAGTTTCTGTAATTTAAAACGAGCATAGAAAGTATATCTTATTAGAGCTAAGGAAAGATATGAACCGCTAAAAATCATTCATAATGAAAATTGGTAATTGTTGAAGATGGGAGGAATAAAATATAACTTTATGAAAATGGATTTTGTAAGACAAAAAAAAGGATTCTGAAAACTGTATAGTATTCAGGTTAACTGAACTGTTTTGCAGCTATGTTGTTCAGTTAACCTGAATACTATACAGCTTTTGGCAATTTATTCAAATGGTCAAAAGCTGATGAGAAATGAACGGAAATCAGCCAAGTAAAATCAAAATAGAATAACATTGCTAAGAGTATTGAAAATAATAATATGTAATATAAACAATCAAAAACATGCATTAAAGAAGCTCTCTTTTTTTCGACCAAAATTATATTTAAATATAGTGTGACCCAGGATAACCATAAGCCAAGAAATGATATTATACTTATTGATCATTAGGATAAAATTACATTTCGAACAAAGACGATGCTTTACACAAACCTTGGTTGATGCTTTCGGTGGAAATTGTTTGAAGAGATGAAGCAACAGGTATGATGCATCGTTGATGTGCTTCTACTACTCTGATACTCACCTTCTTTCCACCCTGTTGCTTCTGCTGATCGATTATAAAACCCTCCACCGTGATAAAAATTACTATAAAATTAGAGAATTAAGCGCAATTTTAATCATTTTGAATTTATTTCACAAATCAAAAAGCATTATTTGTTGAAAAAATAATAGTCATTTATATCACGCAAATTAGGAAATTGAGGATAAATAAACAAACAAGTAGATGATAAGATAAATAAACAAACAAGTGGATGATAAGATAAATAAACAAACAAGTGGATGATAAGATAAACAAACAAATAATTAGATGATAAGATAAATAAATAAACAATTAGATGATAAGTTAAAGAAAGAAAGAAAAAATTATATAAGTAATGCAAGTGATTAAGAAATCATTTGAAAAAAATTCACTTTAAATTATCATTTCAATTTAATTTCATCCAACCTACTTATCATTTATTTTCTCAACATACTGTAAGTGCTCTAGTTGTTCAAAGTAATTTTGTTTCCTGATGACGATGTAACATCATCATCATTATCATTATTATCATCAAAGATAATCCTATAATTTTGTTTAGACCTTAGTGTTAGTGCTAGATATAGTTTTGGAGTTTGATCTTAACTCCAAAACTATATCTAGCACTAACACTGACGTCTGCACAAAATTTTATTTTCTTAATATCATTAAATGAAATAATCATAAAATGAATAATATATATATATTTAAAGCCTTTTATAGTATATCTTTTAAGGCTTTTAAACTTCACTAACTCATATAATCACTTACTTTTTGTTCCCACCTTTTATAGTATGTCAATTTTATGTCACGATAAAAATGATACACCTGTTAAATACTAAACAAATTTATTTCACACCGACATCATAATAATTTGCTATTGCTATTGCTAAATGAAAATAATATAATCTGAAATGTTGCAAGAATTATTTTAAAATAAAAATACAGCAAAGGAAAATAATTTTCAAAACTAACATATATATGGGTGCACATGCATGCATGCATGCACACGCATACACACATATATACAAACACACAGACATATTTGGATGGTGAATTAGTTGATGTACATCACATCAATGACAGCGATAAACGAACTGTGGGAAGGTATCTTCACATTTTCGACAATCCTCCATCGGTCCCTTTCCCTCTTCCCTCCGATACATATGCATAATTATTGCGATTATATGTTTTGTTGAAAATGGTGTCACCAAAATAGAGCGAGCAGTGTTCACTTCACTTTGACGAGAAACAAAATATCCACTAACGATCCATTCCTTCCCTCAATTTCGTTTCCATATGACGCATACGATACAATGCGACAAAACGCAATACACGAAGATGACTAACTACATACATACATACACACACACACACACACGCACACACACACACACATATACATATATCTCAGTATATATTTCGCAAGAGTGATTGATTTTTGGATCTCTTAACTGTTACGTGATAATTGGTGATAAATATATGAATAAATATCATCTTCCAGCTATTCCCACTTGAAAATAGTTAGCAGGAGAAAAAGGTTTCAATATAGCAAACACAATGAAATTTCTTCTAAAGATATCAAACATAAGAACCGGAAATATTAGAAAAAGTAAACAAAAAATGACGAAAAGATATATCTATCTATCGATCTATCTATCTATCTATCTATCGATCTATCTATCTGTCCACCTATCCATCTATCTATCTATCTATCTATCTATCTATTTATCTATCTATCTATCTATGTATTTATCTATCTATCTATCTATCTATCTATCTATCTATCCACCTTTCTATCTATCTATATATCTAATAGAAGTAATTAAGGCTTTGTTTAAAAAAATTTTTAGCAGTTAAAATATATTCTTTGATTTCTTTCTATATTCCTAAAAACAGTAAAAGTATCCCATTGGATGAGAAATTTTTCTACTTTTTATATTCTTCGAAAAAATCAAAACAATATATTGGGAATATTTGCAATTGAACTTTTAATAGTTATATATACGTGAAATTAAATTTGTCACGTAAATCATAATTAAATACTTTGTTAGTTTCACGTGAAACGTGCTATATATTCCGTCAAATTTGTGCACGAAATATGAATTGAAATGAGCAAGAAAATATCGCAAAATTAGTTAATCGTAAATTTATCGTAAAAATTGTGGGAAAAAAAAGGAAGCAAAATTATTGTAAAATAACTGATTGCTATAAGAAAAATTAATCAATTGATATTGATCAGTAAGTTTCAGTTTATTTCTTATAATTTACTATAACATTTTAATGAGTAAATTTTCGTGTATCCGGAAGCTTCCGGAAAATATACAAATAAACGGAAACATAAAAGATATGAAGAAAATTGTATGAAAAATCAATAAGCTATGGACAAATTTTTTTTTAACGCTTCTCTATTATCATTTTCTTTTCAATTCTACTATGTTAATGCTTATATGATCGTTGAATTGGATTTTGCTGTTGCAAGAAATGACGAATTATTAAATGACAACATGAAATAGTTGCCAACCAGCATTAAATGACGTATATGAAATTAGTCTTCTGATCGATGAATATGAAGGAATGAGTTTCGTTTTTTTTCGATGAATGAGGACATCTATTCATTTCAGTTATATCTTTGACCAAAACAATTTAGGATTGATTAATTAAAAACAGCCAGCTGTTGGAGTAGAAAAAAAAAAGGATAAAACAATAATTAGAAAGAATTAATTAGAATGGATTAAGTGATAGGTTCAAAAAAAAATGAAATAATAATAATAATTTGAAAGAAGCTTTTGGTTATTGTATTTTTCTTGCCTTAGAGATGTAAGCTTAGCAGATTGATTAATCATTTTGGCAGAGTGATATATGATAAGAAGTTGAATGATTGCAATCATTCACTTAAAAGTTTCATTAAATAATCATTTTGGTAAATAATATAATTTGCCTATGCCATTATTGCATTTTGCAACATTCGATTCAGCCTCTAATGGAACAAGATGCTTCGTTTAGTTTTTAACCGGATCACTTATTATCAAACAAGTTAGAATTTTGGATAAACCAGAAAGTGTAAAGAATTGAAATATTAAAATTTTATAGATACAGATGATTTTATAGATATTTATAGATATATTAAAATTTATAGAGATTTATAGATATGGCATTCTTTTAAAAGACTATTATGAAAAATGTATACAAATAAGAACAAATTGAAAAAGGTAGTTGGAAAGGTGTTTGAGAAATGAAATTTATAAGAAATGATTTTTCATTTCTTATAAACCTTTGGAGAGGGAAAATGAAAATTCATCGTATATCATTCAAAAAACTTATTTGTTTTGTTTTGAAGAAATTAACAAAATTGTCGTACAGTTTGTAATGAAAGTTAGTTATTGAAAAATTAGCTTTACAGTAATTTTTAAATGATACTTAACTAATGCTAATTGCAATTTACAGCCGAAATTCTTTTTTGTTTTATTTTTCTCTAATATTTATTAAAACAATAATATTTACTTTCTCAAATAATTATTGCTCATTTTTCTTGATTTCTTGATGGATAACTAAAATTTTTAAATTTCTATGAAAAATAAGATAAACTGATCTATAAATGCTACTCAAATAGAAACGATCGCTTTTCAATTATAACATTTTTAGGATTACAAAATTTAATTTTGAGCTTTTATCTATGACAAAGATCAAAAGTAATTCATTTGAAAGATAATTAAATTTTAATTTTTATCATACGTCAAATCAACATAACTGTATGATACATGGGAATTAGCAATTGAAAGGAAAAGTAAAGCATTTTGAAGATTTGAACCAGGAATGCTATTATCAACAAAAACGACAACAACAATGCCACCACCATCATCACCATCATCAGTGTTACTACCAATAATGCCACCAGCCTCATTCATTCATCCCTTTACGATTCCTTTCTATTCCCATTCTTTCAAATATTTGATTTGTCTGATTCTGTTCTATAACTACATCTATATATATATATACATACATGTGTATGTGTGTGTGTAAGAAAGGAATTATCCTTAGGTACAAAATAGTGTATATCATTTATCCCTCAGGTAGCATAAAAAATCCTGAAATGAGCATTTTCCGGAAAAATATTAAAATTAGTTTAGAGTTAAGGAGTTGAATTCCAATGCTGAAAAATACTGTTAAAATTAATTAATGAATAAATAGATTAATTACGAAAAGAATGAAACATTTTTCTTTCTCTAATTTTGCTCCAAAACAATAAGCCAAAATGCCAAATGATACATGAATCACATTATATTATGGATCACATCACGTTGTAAATCACGTTATAAAACATTTTGAAATAGCCTAAAAAGTTTAAATGAAATTAACTAAAACAAAAAAGAGAGAAATAGACATTGGAAAAGAAAAATGTAAAAATATATAGCCTTAAGAAATTCAATTAAATTAGCTCAATGAATCAGCGATAGCAAATTTAAAGACATAAATGTGCTCTTTTCTATTTTTTTCAACAAAACAGAAAGAATGGGTTAGAGGTGGAACCATCAAACAATCTTTTTTCTGTTTTCATTCGTATTTTGTCACTGAGAATATTTCTGTTTCAGATTGATTAAATGCAAGCCAAGTAAGCTAGCTAGCCAAAGAAGCCAAGTGAGAGTCATTATTTTGCCATAAGCATGTATAATAATATCATGAATATATCTCTACTAAAAAAAAATCACTTTCTCCTATTTCGATCATCAAAAATTTCATTCATTCATCTCAACTGGTTGTAACTAATAGCCAAAAGTAGTAATTGGTTGTAACTAATAGCCAAAAGTAGTAATTGGTTGTAACTAATAGCCAAAAGTAGTAGGGTAAGCATTCTTTTTTGATCTTCATTAATTTTTAATCTCTTCAAATTTCCTAATTGTAATCTTTATTAAATAAATGTAAATGCTTCTATCTATATAGTCTGTGATGATGATGATAAGTGATAATTATAATTTCTTTCTTTGTTTTTTACTTTAAAATTTTTAACTATTAAAATCGCTTTTGTGTAAAGAAATGTATTCGTTATAATCTATCTCATTTAAATTTTCTCATTAAAACAAAAAAAAATGTGTTTAAAGAATTAAAAATAAAATCTTTATTTTCCCTGAAATTAAATATTTATCATTTAAAATATGAATTAAATAATTTCGAAGAAATAAAATATATACCTGAATTAAATTATACCTGTGCATATTTTATTACGATAAAAGAATATTTATTGAAATTATTTAAATTCATTGCAAACAAATTCATATTGAATCAAATCCTTTATCATAATATCTTTTCCTTTTGAAATACTTCTATCATTTATCAGTTTAAAAATATTCAACAAATTAAAACATACAAAATCCAACAATTTCAAATGCGAAATTTACACACACATAGCCAATCAATCAATCAATAATCATTTATTGAAATTTCTTCTTTGATTGTAAGAAATGAAGATATTCATTCTTTTCTGCCTTTTCGTTATCATTTCTCTCGGGAAAAATACTGGAAATTTTATCAAGTAGTATGAATGGAAATTGTTTGCCAAGCAGTTATTGCATCAGAATGAACGAACTTATATTCGTTCTTAATAAACATTCTTTTGTAATATATTGAAATTGAAAATTGATGTAAAACGATGTATATACAAAATATACAACATCTCAAAACAAACAAATAAACGTGATGTAAACAAAAAAAAATTATAAATATTAGAGAAGTGTCGAATTGAATTTACATTACAAAAACTTCGTTTTCTTCTTTGATCATTCATAAACTATTAATGGTTAATATAATTTATGCATTAATATATATAAATTTTGATTATGAGAAAAATGATTAAAAAGAAAAACGAAAAAACTATTTTGTATTTATATCATTATTGATTGATAAGATGGATTTAGGAAGAAAGTCTTTAAAACATTATCATCTATTGGTGTGATAAGAATAACGAAACAGTGATGAATCTGATTGATACGTATTGTAAAATTTTGACTAAAAATTCTTTTTTTTAAGTACTCCATAGCTTATTTTACTTATATATTAATTATATATTTCATATATTAATTATATTATATTAATTATATATTTTAGTAAAATATGTAATATATTTTACTTATATATTAACTGACATATAAAATATCTATTTTACTTATAAATTAATAAGAATAGGTTCAATTTTAATGATAGTAATTTCGCGCAACTATTATACTTGCTATTTCTTCGATTTTTATGGATGGAATAAATTTATCAGTTTTTCTTCTTAATTTTCATATTTTCCTAATAAGTAAATTTATCATTCAAATGTATAAACTTTCAACAATGTTGTTAGCCATCATTCAATAATTTGTAGTATGTATAGTAGAAATTTATAAGATTCAATATGTATCATAACAGAATGAAATCTTTTACTTTTTCCACCGCTCGAGATTTCCATTTTTTTTGCTAAGAAGTGTAAACAAGATCAGAATAATAAATATCATAATGAATGCCAATCATGAATGTTTACAACAATTAGTGCTTACATTTGATTAATTTGATATCAATTTATTTATTATCTGTAAAAATCGAATTATGTGATATCATTTCAAACGTATCTTTAATTCCATTGCTTAATTGCTTTCTTTAAAACACTTGAAATGAAAATTTGCTCCCCAGCCATGAAAATAAAGAACAACAGAAACAACATAGCTAGCATATTTATCCCCTTGCACACCTGAAACATAAATGTGAATTATCAAATACATATATTTTTAATATTCTCACACAGATTTGTCACAGGAAATCCTAAACTTTCTGTTACAACTATCCGTCCCAGTTTTTGGAAGAACGATTTGTATCTAAGATATTTCCTTAAATTAGATCTTGTTTGATTAGATCTTCCACCTTTCGCCTAGTTAAGTTCAATTGTACACAAAAAAAAATGTTCAATTCCAAGTCCAGATCGCTTCATTTTCTCATTAAAACACAATAACAAATATGATTTGAAACATAACATTCCATCAGGATCATAGCGCCAACGCTAGTACTATAGCGGTTTGACATAAAGAAATCATGACAGATGAAGCAATATATTTTGCAACGAAATTTTCGAAACTAAACTTTATTTACATGCAAAACAAATGCGGCATATCTGGTAAACCGACAAGTGCAGGTGAAAATTATTGGAAATTCTGCAGAAAAAAATTGAAATAATAATTTATAAGACCCATTCTATGGCTCAATACGTTTCAGAACAAAATGAAATTTTTACTTTCTTCACCACTCAAAATTTTTTGCTAAATATGAAAATTTTACGAGAATAAACTGTAATAACTAATATCAAGCACCGAGCAGGTAGATTAACTTTGAATTCATTCTTCCTACAATATAAATCTAAAAAAAAAATGAAATACAACAGCACATTATATACAAAGGGTCCACCCTAAAACAGAGATCACCCTAGAAAAAACTAAACATACAACAAACTGCTACATGTTTTTCCATTATTTTTGACTTGACCTACTACTTTTCTTTAAATGCTCAACAGCCATAGTGAAAGCCGCAAGCTTCCTAAAAAATGAATCAAAAATTAGCATGCAGCAGAGCCTACATTAAAAAAAGAACGAGCTGAAAAAGAAAAGAACTGTAATTAAGGCACGAAGCAAAATTATAGTAGTCACTGAAAAAACGAAAAACCACTAATAAATCATTAAGAAATGGACAAAACGGAACAAAGTTTTATCGACAAAATTATAAACCTCATGATACAATTACTCTATCAGCACCAAATGTTTGCATAATGTAAATAATACAAAATGCATTTTTAACGATACTTTTAAGGATAGACTAAAATAGATCTACAAACATCAATATGGCTGCTTCCTATGAAAAACCGCAAAAAGTAATGGCTTAAGCTACTAATGGGGGCTTCATAACAAGACAGCAAAAATTTAAGCTGAATACCATGTATATAAACTGGCTTATCAACATCAATATCATTGTAAGGGATATCAACAATACCAAAATGATCAACATCAGACAAATGAAATTCACGGAAAATTATTATCTTTGTTGAATCATTGAGTTCAGAAAACAGAAAAGAAGAAAGAGAAAATTTCCATTTAACTAAAGAATTTCAGAAGACCTAGATGTATCTTCTTTCAAGAAATTTCCTTGGCCTGAATCATTTTTCTTGATTCAGCTCAGGGAAATTTGAAATAATCACTGGGTCATAAAGATCAAATTATTACTCGTTTAAAACATATTGAGCAATTTTTATTTCAGCTTTCCGAAACCAAAAACCAGCTTGAAAATTACGGCTGTCAGAAGTTTTACTTTCCAATAAACAAATCGAGTTTTCTTTGCTTTCTGTCAGAAGCATTCTGATCGCTAATGCAAACGCCAGCCATCCAATACTCACGTTTTTGGGTACTCGAAATTTCACGGAGTCTCTGATATGACAAAATAGCCGCATCTTAGTGCACATTCGTATTATGCAGTATCACGCAGGAGACTAAAATTGGAGATACTTCATATTAACCAATTATTTATTTACTAGTGTTCAAATATTGGCTTCGACTACTTGGAGTCAACACTGAGTTTGGTTACAATAAGGCAAAGGCTAGAAAATGACATAGTAATATTTGTACTTCAGTTAGAATCACGACAGCTTACCCATGTAATAAGTGCACTGTCAATTCGTAGGTACCCATAGTGATTGCAGTGTTTGGGACTGTTCGTAAAAGCTAAAAATCGATAATTTCAACGATATTGACTCAAGTTACAAATTTATTGTTCAACTTAAATTACTTTTCTTCAGCTACTCAAATGCGGCAAATTATTTAATACTCAAAACTACACAGAAATCCAGTCATCACTTTAGACACTAAGAAAGCAAAGCTAATGCAAAAAACTAAGCAAAGCTATGCAACAAATGTTTAAATTTCAAAGCCTTAGATTTAAATTTAGCAAACCTGTACAGCCAATCCTCGGTAAAGCGCCCAAAACCCTTCTCCTCGCAGAATAAACTTTAGAGTAGGCAAAAATCCTTTGATTACAGCACTCTCTTCGCGCATACGAGTACGCACCACTTCTGTAATTAGAGAAAAATGATAACAGATACAACTTAAATTTAAATATGGTCTAGTATATTCAAGCTAATGAAGAACATCTAATTTGAAATTTCACCTTCACTAAAAAAAGCCCATAGAGTAAAAAGTATTAACTCGAGTCTATCCGTGAGATCCAGATAGGTGAACTGAATAATCTTATGTATGCTCAAATAACTAGGCAATTATTTTTTCTGAAGAAAAATTTCCTAAAAAACGAACATTGAACCATTTTACATCAATCTTACGACTAGATGATTGGCATTTCTTTAGAGACAAATCAATACAAGATAAAATTTGTTGAAGCATACGCTGAACCTTTGCACTGAATTTTTCGCTAAAAAACAAGTCAACCTAAAAATACCTTGATAATCAAATGAACTATAGCTGCAGGCCAAAGCAAATAACAAAAACAGAATGTCTAAAGAAACAAACCATGTGGATAAGCTAATGAACAAGCAAAAAACTTTGCCGTCCCACCAGCGAGCATAAAATGGAAGAAATCAATCATATCACGATCGTCGTTTTCAGTTAGGAACATCTCTACAGCTGATAGCCGCTCTTCATCTTGTTTCGAGCGGGGTTTTTCATCCCACTTTGTAGTATTTGTTTCTGGACTTGCTAAATGTGTTTCTGGATTTGCTACATTTTCTTCTCGAGAAGATGATTTCCACTTCAACAATAACGCTCTCATTTCTTCATACAATACAAATTGAATTACTGTTTCAGAAATTCCAACATATGATGCGGTTACTCCCTGAAACTATACAATAACCTATTCTGTTAAACAATATAATTATACTGCAGTATTTGGGATAAGATTAATGTGATGCAGTTAAGATTGGAACCACACCAGAAATGTGGTCACGAGACGGAGAGTGGAAGCAAGAGAAGGAAACTACTGCAAGAAATAAATACCGAAAAGAATGTTACTAATATCAAATATTTTGGTAATTTCCCTTCTGAATAATTACAACTGCTGACAATTTTCAGACTTCAAAATAATATTTTTAGGGTAAGACAAGAATTGCGCAGTCAAGCCTGCTAACAAATATGTCGCATTCCGGAATCCCTGAAAAATATTCACCCGATAAAAACCTTTAAAACCATCTGTTCTCCACACCCGTCTGATGCATTCTGTTACTGAGAGCGGCCCTTTATGCAATTGCAAACGTGTTTTAACCAACCAAACTGGATTAATGACGGTTGCAGCCACAAAACCTTAAAAGCAGATCATTATTAGTACATTTAGCGAACCAATTCCGGTAAATATTCGAATTTGATAAATAGCTAAAGCTCACCACTGGTAGCTGCAGAAGACATATGTATCATAGCGCTATTCGAGACAAAAATATCCAAACTGTTTAGTAATCGTTTACAGCTTGAATACGTGCAAAAATAAACTGCTCTGAAATGTACTTTTTATTTTTTTCATACAACTAAGAACTTGGCTTCAGTAACTTCAAGCAAGATGCAAAATAAAAAAAGGGAAGATAACATTCAAACAATGCGTTCCCATCGGAAAAGACTGCATTGGTTTCTGGGGATTCCAAAAATGATGGCAGGAAAGGTAAATGAAAAACCATTTAAAAATAAAACAAGTTACTCACTGGTTGATTCCAAAGGAGTGTTATCGAATTTTAAAGAAAAACACCGCAAGTGATATCCTGCAGTCAAGCAGAGGTCTTCAAAAGATGCTGTATCGTATTTCATACTTCGAGAAAAATTTAAAGCACTCACTTCGAAGGTGCAACACCAATAAGGTTAGGACCAATTCCTTTGAAAAGTGCTGCGAATCCTTCATTTGCCACAATTTGTCTAAACAAAATTAAAACTCCTGCATATCTACAAAAGTGTTCCAACACCAATAACCATTTTTCTTGTCACTACGTGTCGCTTGAAAGGAATGAAGAACTGTGTAGCGCTGAGATCACGCAGAAAACATTCTCCGGCACTGATCAAGAAATCAAAGTCGGCAGAAGAACGAAATAACTCTTTACGCTTGAACTAAAGACATACTTGAAGAAAATATATAAACTCCTGCTCTGCTGCACAGATAAACTAGGCTTCGCAAAAAGTTGCACATTTTGCTGCACTGCACATGTTGGCGGCATGTAACATAGGCGCAGCTTTTGAGAAATGTTGACAGCTGCAACATTCATGAAGTATAACGGAAAGTAATTTGAGAAATAATGTAATTTAATAAGAATAAAATGCGTTGTTATATTAAACTATATATTAATCCACTCTCATTGAATTAACAGAAATAACCTTCCCTTAGATGTAGCAAAAGCCGTAGTCTATAATCTGTAAAAATTAATTAGCAAATTAATTAGCTTACATGTTACCATTCGATTGTGTGGGTGAGGTAACCGTATGGGGTTTTTTGATGATCCTTCGGAATGTGAATGAGATAATGTGCACGCATATTCTGTGCTCTGTAATCGCGTCTTAACCACCTGAAATATTTATTTAGTCAATTAGGATTTTCATTTTGTTCCTCAATTTCTAAAATTAAGTACATAAGTTTCCAATTACTTTTTTTCCAGATATTTTTACTTCTTAATTGACATGGTAATATATATGATGGTTTGGACAAAAATCTAAAGGTCAAAAAGATGAAATGAAGTTTTTTAAACTCAAAGTTTAAAATAAAGTTAAACTAAACTAAACTCATTTTATTGGTTTGATTATATAATTTTGACGATGAGTGGGTGAAGACTAATAAAAAGAACCTCAAGTGGACAGGTAATAGCTGTTCCAGCTGTACCACCCAAAGCTCCTCCAAGAAAATGAATGAAAGCTTCTTTATCCATATTATCTATCAGCAATCATGTCACAACACAGCTATAATTTCCCTTTCTGAAGATAAAAATATGTGTGTATATAAAAAGAAATGAAATACAAAGGCGAGTTCATCAAAAAGTCTAAAATAAGAAATGCTTCTATTCTGCGACATAGACGAAGCTTTAAGACACATAAAAGCTGTTTTCATTGGTGGTTGGAAATCTGAATAAATGATTGGCATGAATGAAAGTTTAAGCATGTTGCACATGTGACATGTGACAAACGTATCAGAAAAATAACTGATAACAATGGACTAATCAAGACTAACTTGTAATAGTGTACATTCTAATAACAATTTACAGCAGAGATATACATCCGTTCAAAACCTTCACGTCAAATAAATACATATAAGAAAATAAAAACAGAGTAAAAAACCACTAAATTTTTAAAAAAGCACGAACAAGATTTGAAGAGTAACCATGTGAGAGCGTTTTAATACTCAGGAAATGAAATCACGAGACAAATAATAAGCCTGGACTGGAAAGAAATGAGTTGGTAAAAAAAAATTTCTTGAATATTTATTGTTTGAAATTCTTCAAAGCATAATCGCAGCACTTAACTCACTGATAGGCATTCTATGCGCAGTACTTAGCTCATTGATAGGCATTCTATGTCAATCAAAAAAAACTAATGTTTGCTTAGAGAAAAACATTAATATGGCAAAACATGAAAAATCGATCGATTCTTGCAAAAATTTCTAATTTTATTTTCAATATTTGATTATTCAACTAAAATTTTCTAACATTCTATCAAAAACATTAAACAATGGAATTGTTAATGATCAATCACATCTTTTAGAGTTCTGCCCATTATTGTAACATTCCTTCAGTTGGAAATGCAGTTATTATCAAGTGATAACTAAAATGAATAGTTAAATGTTATGGTCAGTTTGGAATTTCGTACTGCTTACACTTAATTTTCTATTTCGCAAACAATGTCCTTGGTTTCATTTCGGCAAAAACGTAAAATATTCCCGTTCATCTCTCATTTGTAGCCTCAAAAAAGGGAAGAAAATATGATTGGATGAATAACTCCGTGGATAACACAATTTCAATTATAGCGCTACAAAAACTTATCCCATATTACGTATATTACAAATTAAGCTTAGAAGTTTACATCATATTCAAATAGCTATCAAACGATGTATTGCAAATCAAATTATCATCTAATAATCAATTGATTGATGTAGAAAACGCATTTCAGGTCTTCGCTACCGCAACGCAATCATCGGTGGGATACAACGAATAAGTGTTAAGAGCTCACGGTTTCTTCCCGGTCCTTGCGAAGAACAGCTGACAATATGCACAGAATACATATCTTCGTTTCGAGAACCTATGAGAAATGGTTGAGAAGTGGAGAAAAGTTGCACGTTGGAAGCGCAGGGCAATTTATGGGAGAAGGAGTGATGGCAGGAAAGTAGAATTAAAAAATTAGTAGGATCAATAAACAAACCTAGGTCAAAAGAAATGAGATCATATAAGCTAGGCTAAAAGGAATAAGATCATAAAGTAAGGTGAGGAAAAATGAGATCACTCAACCGAACATTTGTAATATAAGTGAGTGGAGTTTGTTGACAACAATAATATCCCCTCTTCGCTATTCGTCTACTGCTTATCTATTCTATATCTTCTCTCCCCCCACGATTCACTACTTGCTGCTACAAGGCATGATGTAAATTAGGGATTTCTCGAGTATAGCAATGGTCGATACGATGAAACAATTTTAATCTTGTTTATTGCATTGATTAGTTTGTAACGAAAAATTTAAAAGTTCAAGGAATGCTGAATTCTTTTAATGATAAGAATTATGATAATAATTAGCCAGATGAGTATTTCTTCTAGAACTTTTCGAATAATCATCCAGAGAATTGATTGCCGTAATTCACCAGTACTATCTTTACTCTTTTCTAAATTTTCATTTGCCTTTACCTGGTCGGATTCTTCCATATGTTTTATATTCAAACGTATCGCTTTTTCAGAATTAGTGGTAGAATCTTTCGATTCTTCGGTTTTAAAATCTTTTGATTCCTCTGTTTTTTCCTTTAAATCAACATCTTCCTTCCATTTCAGCTTGCTACGAGTTTTTGATTTCGTTTTCGCTGGACGAGCTTCTACAGCAACTGGTTCGAAAATCGTTCTTGCATGCAGTTCTTCATCCACCTTCGGTAATCTATGGCATCGAAACTGTCAAATTGTTCTCTTTCGTCATTTTTCAAAGAGATTTTCAACCCTTTTATGTTTTCTATGGAAATCGAAATAGAAGACTAAGTTTGCGTGATTTTTTAGTATCATTATAGAAAGAAACAAACGCTTAAATATAAACATAATGATAGATGTACACTAGGCATTTATTCCCTATTTTACTGTAGTAGAATTTACTATCAGCTCTTATAATTCATTTTAACGAAAACACAAAATATTTTCCATTGCAACAGAATGAAACTTTGCTCAATCACCTTCTTATCTCTTTTTTCTCGAATTTCGAACCTGCAAAAAACTGATGGGAAAATTTAAGTCTCGTGTTAAATAAGTGGGAAGTGGTAGAGAAATTCTGTACTCATAATAAACTTCATTTTCTTAAACCGTTAATCAGGTAGATTAACCTTTATCCGAAGTATTTGCACGCCCATTTGGTGAAATTTTGTCACTGAAAATTTATGAAATTTAATAAAACTACCAACAGATCGTTGCAGATTTCGTAAGATTGGAATGATAGATGTCATGTCCGAAATAGAGATATATTTTACATGTTGTAAACATATATATATATTGCTTTAAAATTCTTGTAAGATTGAACTAGTAGGTATGAATTCTAAGGTGTTACTGGCGCCAGAAACAACAATTAGGAAAGGGAACATCAAGTCCTTGTTGAATAGATGGAATTTTTTTGAATCTTAAATGGGAAAAACAATGAAATATTATTTTCATTCAGTCATCTTTCCAGTACACAATAATTTTCATCTTTTTGAATAACACATGAATAACACAATTATTCATCTTTTTATTGATGTTATATATTATTTGAGAAGCAAAAATTTTATTCAAATTATTAAACTAATATATATTTCTCCTCACATTTTAATCAAACCGCTGATAGCATAACTAATGAATTAATTAAAGAGAAATATTTAGTGCATCTGAAAACTTTTTTGGATGAAATACATGTGCGATAGAGTTGCGTGGTGGTTGGGTGACATATACAATATGTTTTAGTTGCAGTATATGAATTTCAGTTTTCATTATCATTTGTACTCGATAATTAAGATTTAAGTGGTATTATTATTGAAGAGTAATAAACAACACCGAAACATACTCCATTTAATCTCACGGCTTGAAAGAACCGACCTGTTTCTTTACGTATTAAAACAATGAACATCCGTCGTTAGACGCAGTTTTTATAACGCTATCCAGAAGTTAACAGGATGAGAAAAAATCGGTATAAATGTGACAAGTTTCGAATATCGAAAATAAATTGACCCGTCTAAAACTATAATATTTTAAAAGATTGGAAAGAATTTCAAGCATAATTAGTTATGCTTGAAATTCTTAATTAGTTAATTTTGTCCCAATTAATTGTACGAGGTAAGCGAGCTCTTTTTTATGTAAACTAACTTGTAATTTTCAAAAAACTGGAAGACTGAAAATTAAAAAACGGAGGATAAGGAGGACATCTCACACTGTAGCTATGACTGACATAAAGTAATTGATAACTTTTTAGAATTCTAGAATTCTGATCTAATTCATGGGAAGTTCCTTAAGTAACCTTAAGAAATAGAAATAATTAGAGCAAAAAAGAAAATGACAAATGAAAAAGAGCAGCTTAATGGACTTTTGCATCAAAAAGTTGCAAATTTTCGCTGCTTCTCTTTTAAAGTATTTAACGGACAACTGCGAATAACTTTATTCGGTTTACAGAAACTTAACAACCAATATCAAGTCCGAGATAAGAGCATTTATATCAAAAAGGACAAACAATTATGAAAATTTTAAACCTGACAACTGTAAAATATATCCAAGCGAAACGTCATGACATTACAGATCTTGTATCAAATGGTAAAAGAGAAACGAAATTATGTTTAAATCTTCACTCTACTAACGGATTATTCAGCAAAACTAAGAATATTGATTAGTGTGCTGGATATAGCATTATTGAATGATATTTACGACAAAAAAATTGAAATTCCAAGCTCACATGCAATTTCGAAAGAATTCACTGAGCAAGATTAGATGTTTTATTTTTTTCCGGAAAAGAGGTAATATTTACCATAATTTATAACCAGTGAAGCCAATGTTTACCTTAATTTGTATCAAAATTTCTTCCTAACAATATCAAGATACCCGTATTTTAGATGGAAGATACATATTGACATATTTATTAGTTGATTCGAGAAGTATTCGGGTTCTTAAATCATTGTCCACTTTATAATCATTGCCGAATATTGTTATTTTTTTAAAAGCGTCTGGCAGCAAACTAAATGTTAAAACTACCGATTTAACAAAGAGATTATTTTGATAGAAATCAGTATCGGGAGATCCAGAAAATTGCTTTGTTTGGCACCTTTTCCAACCGTCCATCAATAAACTAATTCCACTACATCCCGCACCTCCAGTACGAACACGAAGGCCGCATGCATCCTGAAAGACTGTGAGCTTTTTTTCTATCCATATTAATTTGAAGCAGATCAATGCGTCATTATACTTGACCATAACATTTTAAGTACATAATAGCGATTATACATCACTTTTCTCAGAGTTTTCTAACATATTGTCATTGCGTAAGCAAAAGACCTCTACTAGTCCAGAATAAATGTAATGGCCAGAAACAAAACCTGGAATAAAAATTGTATAAGTCTGAACAGATGATATAATTCAATAATGCAGTTCACTTTCACTATTGAATTCATCGATTTCTAATTGGCTAATATATAGACAAACTTGCCTGATCTTGGATATTCTCAAACGTTACATCAACTGCTTTCACTTTTATTTCCCTAGTTTTCCCGCAGTTCTCGTTCTTTATTGCTGAGTAGTCCATTTTTGGTTTTATATTGTTCTATAAAAATTCAGCTTTCTTAAGACTGTTATATTTATGAATGCTAATGTTTTGCAACAACATTTTAAACTTTAAGCAAGTATATTAATCCGGCTTGAGTTTATTAACTCCGGATGTATCTCACTTTTAGTAACAGCAACTGATTACCTTACTCATAATTGTCAGTACAGAAATGTCACAGTATTTTAAAATATTAGTAAAACTGATCATTTCATCTAGGTTATTCTAACCAGTGACTTACAATATTGTTAGCACCGTTGTAGCTTCCTGATTCTAGAATCTTCAATTTTTCGAAAATATTAAGTGGAATAATTCATGGGTTTAGAAAGCTAATTTCTCAAAAACTTACCGCACTAGTATAATTATGTGAGCCAATAATATAATGCCACCACTTCTTATTCTTTTGCTGTTTTGTCTCTTCAATCATAGACTGTGACCGACATTTACAGCAACCGGCACAATATTCCTCACAAATCATATTAAGCTCTATTTCTGGATATTGCTAAAAAAGAAAAGTTTATTTATTTACGTATCAAATGTGACTGTCAATTGATAGTAGCGTAGGTGTTTTATCGAAAAATAGAACAGTAATGAAGAATGATGAAAATTTCTTCAGCGATTGTAGTTATTGAATTTTTTCAAATTTTAGTTTTTTTCTGATAAAGTCACTCAAAGTTTGGATCAAATCAACCTAAAGATTAAAATCATTCCAGCAACTAATAATGTAACCTTCAGAGATCGCAAATAAGCTGTGATATAAGCAATCCAGCGTTTTAATCCACCCCAGTACCACAGTTTATCTTTATTTGTCTCAACTCTATCGTACCAACCAGCATGCAAACCTGATACACCGTAAAGCGGTTGTTTTCCTTCATCTGTGCTGCTTTCTAAGTTCTCCTTCAATGATAACTTATGGAATATTAAATATTAAATAGTTTACGCAATATGATAAAATGATGAAAATAAAACTCTTATTTTTCAATTTCGGCGTTCTCCAGCTTTATAAGCATTGAAAAAAGACCTTTTAAGAAAAATAAAATCTGATGTTCGTCAAATCTTATGAAAAATAAAATCTTATGTTCGTCTTATTTACCTTAATGTACTGACTGTCAAAGTATTATAACAATTTATGAATAAAAATCATATAATAGATTTACTGCCAAAAACTTACAAGTTTTATTCTTGACAGATAAATAGGTCGAATTTGTTCTTCGATGAGAGCCATAGCACTTTCACAGTATGGACGGATGTCATTTTGAACTGCTGAATAAAAAAAGCAAGGAATTTACTTGTTTAGTTTATATGTGTCATAATTTCGTAGCGGTAGCTCCATGAGCTGAATATTTCCGTTGCCGTAATTATTTACTTTGCTTAAAAAAAATAATTCCCCAATAAGTATGAGTAGATATGGCATTTTTTAGCTGTTTTATTTGCATAAGTGCTATCATATACACTCAGCATTTAATTTAATGAACAGTATACAAGTTTTTTTTATCTGCAGCTAAATGTACTTTCTTTAATTAAAGCCATTTTACGATATATGAAGAATTTTGCTCACAAAATAAGTCTTATACATAACGCCATCACAATATTCAGAAATATATCTATTCATAGCATTTACCATTCTACCAATTCAAATACTGACTCTTCTGCCAAAGAATGGAAGAAATGACTAACCAAATACATTGGGGACCAAACCAATTAGTGATCGATTCTCAGAACCACCTGGAAAAACACCAATAGGTACCGGTGAAATATTCTTTTGACGATACACCGAGCTTAGAACAGCGCTTAAAGCACTATCTCCGCCAATAACATATAGAGCATCGCATTCGGCTGTATCAATATGTTCCGTAATAGTTTTGAATTCAGAAATATTAGTGGGCTGCAACAATGCAATTACAATTAAAATTTAATCGATAATTGCTTTGGAAATAGTTTGATGACTGGAAATAAAGTATGAATCGGAATCGCAAGAAACATTCGTTTTCATTCGCTTTATAGGAAGCCTTTAGCATTAAAAAATTGACCTTGATTATATCCACTTGTAAACCAGCTAAATTTAATAATGGCAAAGCATTTTTTTTAAAATTATCGAAAGCACCCGCACAGGTCGTATCTACCAAAACAGTGACACGTCGTAAACGTTCTCCCGAAGCTAACGGTGCATCGCCAAATTGCTTCGCTTCTCGAGCATATACAGCTCGTATATCACAATCTCTAAAGCGACAAATTTCAAAGTAAATCATCACATAGGTATAAATATATAGAACTCAAATGATTTGCACTGAAGAATATTTATTCTTGATATTTTTGTAGATTAAGATTTGAGAGATCTAAAGGATTTCCTCCTTGCTTAACAAGTTTATTATTCAAGCGTAATTTTGTGCCCAACATGGTTTGCATAATTCTCAATTTTTAATATTATTTTCGAAATTTAAATATCCATGCTCCTGGATTCGATGCCATTTTACTGAAACAGAAATAGCAAAGAATAAAGTAGATAAACCTTTTCCAACTGTAAACTTTCCAACCCGTGAAATAAGCAACAACAGATACAAATGTCGTCTTTTTCTTGTGCTCCCAAAGTCGTCTCGGTATGTTTGTAAACTTCATCTTCACTCCAACAATTCATGAATGTGATTCTGTAGAGAAATTCAAAATCCCAGTATTAAAAGGCGAAAGCATTTATATATCATCGAAGTCAAAAGTTCGGGCCGAAATAGAATTAATCAGCCATTTTGCTTTTAACAACCAGTTACCTCACAGTATTATTTCATAAACATATATTTCGCTTACTTATCATAACAAAGTTATGTGCTTCTTCGACGTTTATAATTATCTTTCTGATGTCAAAATCACATATACACAAGAAGCCTCATTATTTGAAATCCTTAGTGGTTTTTTTGCAGTTGTCATTTATCACTAACAGGCAAAAAAATGAGATTTCCATTCCTTTGATATAAAGCACATGTTGCAGAAACATTAATGCATGAAACACAACTGCACAAACACAAATTTATTTACAATAAACAACATAAATAAGAATAAACACTTGGTGTTTTATGATACATTTGTTATCACACGTTCTGATATGGATAAGCTCTGCAATATGATCTAAAAAGTTCAATGTGTGACAACATTTGTTACCTTTTTTGAACTGGCCATACTATTTTTTTCAATTTATCATTGTCATCATTTAATTGTTTGCAGAAAAGAAACAAATCATTTTAAATCATAATTAAAAATTCAAATTTTTTTTGAAAAGACAAAAAGGTTGTTAAGATGATAACGATTTAACATCGAAATCGCTTATGCTGACAAGTAAATGTAGCTGAATCTATAAATTTTTGGAATAAAGAGAAATAGAAGGCAAAAGGAGGTGAAACGTGAAACATAGGTTTTGGCCAGATAATTCAAAAAGAAGCATACAGGAGTACACAAGCAACAGCTATATTAGAGAGTGAAATATGAAGTTTCCCGTAAATGCAAATATGACCTAAACATATATATATATATAATTTGAAAATTGTAAATCATAAGTTATTAAACGAACTGATTAGGATTTCAGTTTTTAAAAACAAATTCGTTTCAACATACGACACATTAAATACCGCTAATTATGTACAACTTTATGTAACATCAGCCGCATACAAGTGCTTGCATCCTCTTTCGAGTCATGTCCATCAACTGAAATAGTAACGAATTTTTCTACAGTTTCGTGACTTCATAAATATGTAAAATTTAAGTGAAAAGATAGAATAAATAGAGCTCAGCAGAAGATATTCTTTAGAAGCTTAGACAATTATGAAGTTAGCGGATCAAAGTTATGTAGTTCTTTTGCCCCAAAACAAACAGGTTAAACGATTTTAAGAGACTTATGTGCTTTGAATGATCCTTCCAGATGATTAAAGACGAAAGATTTCAAGGGACCTCAATCTATGCAACATAATTGAAAAAAAGATGACCACCTGTTTTTATAAATAGCAACCGAATCATTTTCAAAACGTCACAAAATTGCAAATCAAGTCGAAAAGATGATAAAAACAAAATTTAGAATAAGACAACTCACTGTCTTCCTGAATGATAAGCTGCAGTATTTCCGAAGCAATTGTTTTCAAAGCACGTTTGTAGGGTGGTCCTAGTCTATGTGGAAATACAACCGATGTATCCACTACCCGATGATGAACCAGACGCATTGCTTTCAGGTCACTTTCAAGACTATGCCCAATCAAAATCGTTTCCGAATTTACCAATTCAAAGAATCGCTTCTGGGTCTATAGCAAATTTCATTTCTTACTGAAGAGTGAAATTTCTTAAATGAATTGGTTTTTCCATAAATGAACACAACGAGAACTTTTTTACGTCTCAGTAAAAAATTGTCTAGTCTTACTCTAATGAAATATATGATATATTTGCTAGGTAAGATTTCTACATGAAAAGCACCAAAATTTGAGAAGTAAATGGTGCCAACTTATACCTCGTAGTAGCATATTTCTGAACTCCTCCCATCCTACTTTACATCCATTCTTTTGCTTAGTTGAATGGCTTGCTGTATTATCACATTACTACACTTCGTTGTTTTAATTCTCGCTGTTCTTTGTAATGATTATGCTAATTACGTGAAGGACAAAAGAAAGCACCTACCTGTTCCAAATCAAATTCTGCTCCTTCAATTTGATCTATCGTCAAACCACTAAATCGTGTATTACAATCACGTACTTCATATTGCGGACGTACAGTAACATCCATCACTAGCTTGTCGTCCACATCGACTACTGATATTCGAGCTAAACTGGTACCCCAGGTTGTATACACCATTTCACAATCAAATGCATACACTTTCCTGCTTCGTTCATCTTTTGGTCCCGATGGTGGTGGTGTCTATAAAAATTAAGCAAATCGTTATCAAAGCTAACTATAGAACGATAAAGAACAATGTGATCTGAAGTGCTTCTCCACAAGAAATAGTAAGTAGATTTACAGGGAAGTTCTTTTAAATGTTTTTGAGTTAAGGTATCTGTGAATAGTAGGAAATTTAGCAAAGAAGCAATTACAATCTGCAATAAAACTATAAAGCAGAACTGTAGTTCCAAGAATCTGAAGTTTACCTCTCGATAGGTCTCCAACACTGATTTTGGCGCAGTATCAGTGACGTGACAATCAGCTACACAACATCCAGCTACACTAAGATCCGACTGACAACAATTATATCGAGATTCCCATAGTCCACGAGCTAGTAATAATAATATGAAATGATTAAAACAATTTCTGAATTCGAAGAGAAAAACCGTATTTTCCAATGCAAATGATTACTAGCAGCCGGCAATTTTCTTTACTAGAATCTAACTGACAATCATTATTTAATAAAAAAACAAGCAATTAAACGAACTTTTTGTTTTAAAAGCCTTTCCCCAGTGGTATACACACTGCTTCAGTGCAGCATAATCACCTTTCGGTGTAAGAGTAAATTCGGTGCCACAACGACAACATATTCTTTTGAGATCTAAAGATAGTAGTCAACTTTAATAAAAGGGAAATGTTGTAAAAATACAGGACAAACTGAAATATGTAAAGATAGAAATTAACCAATCTGATTCAACAAGAATTTGATTAATAAAAAGAAATTACGTGAAAAATTGTGGAAGCCGTTGCAAACAACAGGAATCAATGAAATAATTGCAAAGAGAATATGCAAACTTACCATTTTCCTCTACAAATAATTTCTTTTTGTTGTCTAATTCCGATATTTTGATTTTCACCCTTTTTTTATCCGGACCTTCCCATAAAGGGTAACCGTTCTGTTCCAGTTTCTCTTCGTCTAAAACGAACTTCGAAAGCAGCAATCCGTAGAATTCACTGTAAAGTAATTACATGAGTATCAGATAAAAAATATAAATGTTAAACTCTATTGAAATTGTTGTTCGATAAAAAAATATTGTTGTTCGATCTTATAACAATAGAAAGCCACACATTCCCCATTTCAATACCATTTAACTTCAAATGGCAAAATTAAGTCAAAATAAGTTAAAACTTTTGATAGATAACCTCAACCTTTCACTAATGGATTGTTTTCCAGGAAGTGAACATTTTCTCTGGCCAATTGTGATGGATCCGTGATGACGACCAGCAAGGATAGCCGAATGTGAAACAGACTTTAGTGCTGCAAAATAAACATCAGTAGTTCACGGATAATCTTAACAAGTTAATGGCATAGGAATATAAAATAAAACTGTGTTAATATTTTACTTAACCTTTCGAAGAAAAATTGACTTGCGCAACACAGAAAAACCGTAATTAAACCTAACTCAAAGAAAAAAAACGGTTTGTCTTAACACATCAGCAATATCTGAATAGCGTAGACATTCAGAACATTGCGTTTCTTAGTAGTAGAGGAGATAAACTGCACCCAAATGTCTCTAAATGCGATTCATCTAAATACATAACATTTACTTTAATCCATTCACTGGTCAAAGTGTATAGGGTTCAATCATATCGTGATAGGAGTCCACTATGAGAGAATCACTTTTAGCTTTATTAGGATTTCGACAACAGATTTAAAAAATGAATTTTACGTGCGAATAATACTTAAAATGGATTATCTCGCAATCATCTATGAATTGAATAGAATTTTGTAATATCTAACTTAGATAAGTGGAAACAAATTTGTTTTCACAAAAAAGATTACACAGCCTATTCTTAACACTTCATCTATTGCAAAAATGTTAATGGCTGAGAACTGAAGGAACACTGAATGTAAGGGAAAAAACATTGAAACAACCTGCAGTTCGTGGTGAAATAACATCCCGCAAACGTCGTAAAACATTCACTGCAGCACCTGTATAACCACCCTTTGTCACAGCTCGATCCTTAATCATTTTTTCTTCCTGTTGAGCCTGAATTTTTACTAACATTAAGAAGTGCATAACTAACAAAAACAAAAATAATAACAAAAAGAGCCACTAAGAGTCGGCTAGAAGGCAAAAAAAGCGCTTCTTATTCAGTTTATAAACATCCCGAGGTAAATATTTACGAAGGTGAAAAAATATTTACTACGTGACTTTGCTGTGGAATTGGAAATTTAGAAAACCCGAGAGATAAATAAAAATAACAAGATCGTTACTAACCTGAGCTATAGCATCATTCGTCGAACTACAAAATTTTTGACATTCGATATAAAACAAATTCAAATAACGGACGCGCAAAGCGTATGGGATTTTACCACACGAATATGGATCTAATGGTATTAAATTTACTTTGGCAGATTTCGATATCTGCAAAAATTATAAAAATCAGCATCAAATCGAAAATTAACGAAACTATTGCAAAAATAAAGCTTTTATACCGCTAAAAAAAGAAAAATCTTTTATTCCATTATGCACTTATAATACGAATTCAGTATGATCCTAATGCAACGATAAACATTCATGAAACCTGATCTAATTGCTCCACCGTAAAATAGAAATAACAGTGACAAAAGAGAAGCACATCACTACTTAGCTGTTCTTCCAAACTTAGATCAAAAGATGAGATGGTATAACAATTTATGTACTGCTCTGCCTGATGCATGATTGCTCCACTAATGACAAATGTTGTAATGAGAATAATTTTAATGGTATTATAAAAACATACTTTTGGTACGTGTGCTGTTCGTTTTTCGCCTTTGCCTACCGTTGCTGCTACTGCGTCCGATTTGTAATCATACTTTTTTTCAGCCGTTATAATTTTATTTGTTTTTATTTCTTCTTTGAGCTTCATGCTAAAAACAGAATTTTAGATAATCAGCTAATGATTGTTAAGTTATGTCCAGTTGATAATTGTTAAATTTTACTTCCTCAACAATTCCTCTTTTTCTTTCTGCAGCTTTTGGTAGCGATTCATCAGTTGCTGAGCCATTGTAGGTGTACGGACTTTGGTTGTTGTTACACACATTTGTACAGTCGGCTGAAATATTAACTAACTCATATTTATCATCAACATATGGACAGTAAATATGCAAACAAAAAATAGACATCCAGTAAAATTTCAAATAATTATCCAACGAAATAACCACAAGTAATGAATACCTGAACACTGCAATGTGCTATTCTCCTTTTTGCTTCCGTCTTAATTTCCATTTCTTCTTGTTTTTCCATTTCAGGTAAACTGTCTGCTTTCGATTTCCGGTTACTGTCCATATTCCTTTGCTTTTTCGCAGCTGGTACCTAAAACGAAATTAACATATATGTTTGCAAACTGAGTTGTCTGAATAAATGTAAAAATTCTTGAGTTTGTCGGGTAAACTAATTGATAAAACTGTAGATAATTGAACTGCCGGCCAGTAATGTTAACATCTTGCTTGAAACATTCCAGAAAATGAATTTTCATGTCCCGATATTGCATAATTCTATGCTTTGAAGCATCAAGTTGATTTCAGTAGGATTAAACAAATATATAAAAAGTAAACGTAAATAAACGCACATCGGTTCCAAAAAGGTCTTCGATAGAAAGTTGCTCGTCAAGTTTCTTTTTCGTAACTGATTGCGATTTTCCTTCAGTTGACTGTTGCTGTTTTAATGCTATGTGCGATTTACTTGCTTCTGCATTCGTAACTTTTTTCACTTTCGCACCTCTTGCTTTACCTTTGTCTTTCATTTTATTTCCCTTTACTTTGTTTTTCAAGTCCATCACATCCTCTTTTTTATTATCGGTCTCTTCAATTCTTGTCTTCTTCTTTTGTCGAGCTTCATTTTTCGCCTTTTCCACCGACTTCAACAGAGCGATCGGAGTCGGCGTGTAGCCACCTGTATAAGTAGCTAGTTTCGATTTCGAGTTTGAGTCCTAAATGACGCAAGTGATCAAAGCTGAATGGTATATTTTAGTGATCAAAGCTGGTATATTGTGAACAAAAGACAAGAGTCAGGGACTAAGGAAGTCGATACTGCTCTGAAATTCAATACAGAAATTCACATCGTTTTTCTTTGCAAATAAATAATGCATGTAATAGAGGTACGATATGTTCCAAACATTCATCATCTTGTTTTTGATATATTCCTCCTTCGCTTTCTTTATCCAGTTTAACTTGATCTCTTTGAATGCATCAAAACAATATCTCCTCAAAGAAACTTGAACTACGGTACATTTCATAAAAGCAGATATTGCACTAACGAAACTTATTTTATCGACAAGACAAATAAAATATGTTAACTGAATAAACTAAATACAAATTATGTGGCAACTAACTGAATGTTTTCTTGCAGCTGGAGAATCTGAATTAACAGCCGGTGGCTTAACCAGTGCTCTAATATCGTGAACTATCTTTTCCTTTTGCTGGCGTTCAATTTCGATTTTTCGCTGCAATTCTTCGATTCGTGTATCAATATCAGCTACTGATTTCGCATAATCATTCAAACTCATTTCAGATACCTTAACATTCTGCAAAATGCTTTATTAAAATTAATTCCAAAAAAACTCAAAGATAAAGATAAAGGATCTGAAGTTATAAAAAGCTCCGGAGAGATACACGACCTTTATGTAAACTGGGAGTATAAAAGGGCATATTAAACATTCAACTTTATCTTCCAAATGTTTGATTAAAAAGTTGCCCTGAGATAGTATTAGATTAAAGGATCGAATCAGTAAACAAGTCGCAATTTGCTTCTTAGGATACTGAGAGGAGTCAAGAAAAATAAGCTTCTAGTAAGATGAAAACTATCATAACTTCCGGAACTTTGTAAGTGTTTTACTATCACAGTTTTTTACTCTCCTTAATTTTTTTTACTATCCTTAGTTTGTAAGTGTTTTACTATTCTTAGCAAAAAAAACTTACTTCAATTGAACTCGAACTATTAGCAGATGGAGCAGCGACGGTTTTTGCCTTATAGTTAGCTGGATCCAGTATGTCATCCACTAATAATTCCACTGGCATTCTCGGTTTAAGGATTTCCGGTGAAGGCATTCGTTTACACATCAGTCGCGGAGTAATTTTTGTAGGAATGTAAGCAACTTTAAAAAAAATGAAATATTCCGTTTGATGAAACATGTTTTAATGCTCAATACTATGACAGCTAGAATCAAAATTAGTCGCTGGTTGCGATTTGCTCGAAGTTTTTGAAACCACTTCTCCACATTAGCTCACTACCAAATGATGAATAATCTTATCGATTTCTTTATGAATGGATAAACATAAAAATACCTAGAACAAAAAAATTATAAATCTAGAATTACTACTGGATTGCTGTACAGCTGATGTTGATGGCTGCTGTGTGTATACGACCGGATCTAGAGGAGCGTAAATAGACTGACTACAAGTTGGTATTGTTGTTGTGATGACTGCTTTCTGATTCTCCACATAACCAACATAGCCCACAAATGGTTGGTCAGGTGGAGCTGATGACATTAATGATACGGAAGACTGCTGTTGTTGCTGTGATATGTCATCTGAAATATATTATATATTTTATAAAATATAAAATATTTTTATGAAAAAGTCCTTCAGATGCCAGTTCTATGTAACAAAGCTGTGAAACCAAATAAACAAAGTATAAATTTTGAGGAAGAACTATCTGCATGAATTTGAAAATATGTAAAATTAGATAAATTATAATAAAGCTATAAAATTACGATAAAACCTTTCGAATGCCAAAAATGGCAGTGCGGTCGTGTGCAGTCTTCATCATAAGGGCACATGATATCTGCAAACAACCCCGATCGACCAAACATGCTTTCCTTCTAGGCAATTAAAATCATGTAAGTCATAATAATCAAATACTTATCGCGAAATACGAGAATTCAAATATAGTAAAAAACAACGCATTTTAACGCACTAATGTATTTCGGTCCTTTACACCTAAAATTTAATGCCTAGTCACACAGAAATATGCGTTTAAACTCCGATTAGGAACCTACAAGGAAGGACTTTATTCAAAAACTACATAAGTGGTACTTGACAATTTTAATTAATTCAAGTTCGATCACTTCTACAGTTGATTATATGTAAATATTATATTGATTTTTCTCTATTCCTTGTGCAAATCCATAATAATTTTCCTGAAAAGCATAATTATGCCTATTTTATCATTTGACCTCATCAAATATGATACTCTTATGGTGTTATTGATTAGAGCGAACATTTATCTTTATTAATTTCAAAAAAAGATTCATTATGTGTCAATCGTATAAAAAATTTCAAAGATATGATTTGTCTTTGCTATCCATATCCATTTAAAGACCAGAAATTTGGATCTTATTAGACTGAAATGAAAAAAGCTTATAACATAAAATATAAGCATCAAAAAGCATGACGACAATAAATCTGCAACCTATTCAGAATTTCAAAAAAGAAGAAAAAGACCAATGAAGAGAAACAGGAACAGAGTGCGAAAAAAATTCATACAAAATAGAAACTGCCAATGAAAAACGAACCATAACAGCAATGACGAAATTTTATTTATAAAATGACCTTCATAAGCATTGTCTCCCTTCAACTGATCTTTTTCTCTTTCCCAGATCGTATCTGACATCAATGGTTGAAAAAGAAAATAAAATTTCGCATAAATTATAACGACAGAAAATTATTCTGTTCGCAACATACAAACTGACACTGTGTTGCTTCTCAATTTATTTTGTGTGCCTATTCCCTCTTAAAATCTTTTTTCATAAGTATTCATGAGATTCTTTGTTAGAAATTTACCATTTACTCTTGATCTTCTCCATGAAACTTAAAACTTAGCCCATGAAGATTTCCAAAAAAGTCGTCCTCAACAGTTTCATGATGTCTTTAACAGTCTAGTCTTGCTGAGTTTTCATTACATGGTTCTTAAAATTTAAATTTCAAAAAATTTTTAAGAATTTTCCTATCTAACCTTAATTTTCACAATCCCAAAAATCTCGTGCGAAATTTCTTAGCCAAGACCATTCAGTAGCACAAAGCTGATCGACTTCAACTTTACACTAGCGAATGGTTAGTAAAAACAGTAATTGAAATTGTTCAGCTTTCCAGACCCTCGATTTTCCCTGCCTTGAAATTTTTGGACATTTTATCATGTAATCCCCCATTTAGATCTAATCTTTCACGACAATATCTCTACTCATTGTTTCTGACTTCCTTCATCTATGCAAACGGCTTGATGATGTCTGTGTCATATCGCTCCCCACAATAAGAATGTAATACTGTCAAAATTATTTGCAAAAGTATACTACACCAAATTCCTTCCACACCATCATCTAAATTACAACTCATGTTTACAAGAAAGAACAAAAATTTGTTGTGTTCATACTTTCTTCTTAATTTCATGCATACTTATTTTTCCTTAAAAATATTTTTCCAACATTATATATATTTCATCTTTATCATACAAAATGAATTTTCGTCAAATCACTTCTAAGGTTTAAATAGTTTGAAACTTCGAATTTTTTGGATTTACGAATAGGGTAAGAAACCTTGCGCAACTAATAAATGCATCCGCTGTAGCATTTTATTTGCAATTGCAACAGACTAAAAAATAAAAAATTTTCGCGAAAAAAGTACAATGACATTAGTCAATGACGTTGGTTCGTTCTGAAAAAACTAAGAAATTCCAAGTGAGTAACACCGAAATATCAAACTAACAGAAAAAACTCTTATCACGAAAGCCATCTTGAAATGTATGTTTACTTTAACATAATTCGCTAAACGGTACTGAAGCTATAAAATAGATTAAAAAAGTACAAGCTAAAAAACATTTTATAAAACACGCAAGGCCCACTTAAAATCAAAATACGAAAAATTGCTTTTCTTATATAATATAATGAAATCAGAGAGGGAAATTTCACAGGTAGTATAACATGACGATGGTAATTGTTTACACTTTCCGAAATTTACGTAATAACTGTAGGAGCATTACGGCCGGTGAAATGTTCCAGCTTGCTTATTTGAAGAGCCACAAGAACCAAAGGTTTCAGAAGTTCCTGAAATTTCAAGGAACAAATTTCACAGTCATTAATTATAATATTCATGCACTATGAGAATGAAGAGAACTATAGAGAGAGACTATATTCTAAGCCTTGAAAATCAAAATTCAGCAGGACCTAAAAATCTGAAGAAGGAAACACACAGTCATTTGAATGACTTTAAATGTAACGAAATTTTTGCTTTATTATGTTGTGAAAAAATCGCACATTTCTAGTATTTTACTCAGCATTAAGTCCTCAGGGATAATATATTTTATAATCACCAAAAGTTACCTCTGAATTTTGGAAAAGTCGCTGTTTATCTGATGCATCAATAAATGAATCAACATACAAACGGATCGTTGCACCCAGTGAACCAGTACCACTCAAACGAAATACTGTACGGCTACCATCTTGGAACAAAATACGTAAACCCTGAAAATTTATTAAAAGATGTCCCTAATGCTTATTTTAAAAAATGCCAAAAAAGCGCAAAATATTGCAAAAGATCAAAAAGTTATTTTTAATAATAAACTGATTCTATCAGTTCACAGAATAAACTCTCCGGAACTGATCAATTTAATCTTGCAATCAACGAGAGAATCTATCAGTGAAACCTATTTATTTAATAAAGAACATGCAAAAACTGATTTATGGACAAAGACAATTTAATGAAAAAGAAATTAGCTAATATAATTTAAACATAGCTAGGCACTTAGAAATCATTTAAATCATTTACCTGCTTCTGTGAAACAGAACCATCCACAGGGTCAGTATAAGAAAAGTTGTCGGCTTGTGTAACAATGAAACTTTTCTCATTTGCTGTAAACTTTTGACCAATGAATGCTTGCATTTGGGATTCGATGAATGTCATCATCAGATTTGCTCCAGATACATCGCAATTTTCATAATCATATCTATATCATTACGAGAGCACTCAACTATATTCAATATACACCACAAATTAAAATGAAATAGTCTCAAAGCATTTTCAAATGGTTGAAAAAAATTGAGGAAGCAGCCATTTAATATAAACACTACACTTACGCTGTATCTTTATCTTCAAAAATAAAACATATAAAATGGAAAATTTAAAAATTTCTCCGATTGTTTCAAGATATAAATATAAAATACCGTGTAAAAACATTTCGACCATATTTCGACCAGTGCTCCTTAATAATATTTTCAACTGACTGTTTCTTATCTTGCAAAATTTGCAACCACGCAAGCATTGCCCAAATACCATCTTTCTCCCTACAATAACATTCTGAGTTTACCGTTCAGCAACTACATATTCTTTCATCTTTTTCATACGAAGTCTGCTTAAAGTTAAAAAAACCTTTTAAATAAGCAGTCATGACCTAAATGTTTTCTCTCGTCAAGTATATCGAAACTTTTCCTTTCCTCTCAATCTTGTAGAACACAGCTATTTGTTATATTACATATAGAAAAGATAAAAATGAGAGTGATATGAAAATTAATTAAGGATTTCAAAAAGACTACCAAGAAAGTGCCGGAAAAGAAAATCAATAGTTTTAGAGTTGAAGAAAAAAATCTCAAACACTTCAAAAAAAAATCTCAAACACTTCAAAAAATATCTTATAAAATAAGAGCTACGATTACTTAATAAAAAATATATCTTTAGAGCGCACAAGTTCTGTAAAGTCGTCGTTCTATTCTCTGATCAGTGATCCTATAAATAATCTATTCACCTTATGTGATCTGAGCCTGTGCCAAATGATTCTTCACCGCAAAGCGATAGTTTGCCGGCATCCATAAGATTTCCAAAAAATTTCCATCCAGTCGGAGTTTCATACATCGGCAAACCTGTTTCTTTGGCCACTCGATCTATTGCTCCAGCCGTCGGCATACTTCTTGCATAACCTGTAAAATTCTCATGGTAGATGAAACCAGTGAATATGATCAAAAAAGTGATCAAAAAATTGAGTAACAAAAATGCATAAGAATTTGAGAAAAAAAATGAAACCTAAATAGTCCTATAATTTTATGCAAACAACCTTTGATGCCATGTTGCTGGAAATAAGGGATGCACTTCATGTTTGCAGCAATTACAGCAAGCGAATCACTAGGAGTCACGAAGAAACCATTTTTGCCAACAATCATATTTCGATCCTGAAACAAGTCAAATATGCCTTTAAAATTTGTGCCAATGTTGCAGTGGTAAAGCACATTTGAAAAAATAGCCGAACTTAAATTAATTCAAGTGATTTGGAAAAAAGACATTAAAGGATAAATGAAGTTTCAAATTATTATTCAAAGAAAAAGCAAGTAACTTTTCAAATAATTATTGGTCTTATCCAGTCACAGCATTAATGAAGTTTCAAATTATCATTTAAATTGAAACTAATTTAGAGCCGAATATTCAAACCAAAGCTAACCCCATCGCCATCAAAAGCAGCACCAAAATCATGTTCGCCTTTCTTCAATGTATCAACCAGCTGTTTCGCATAAGTCAAATTCGGATCCGGATGGCCACCACCGAAATCGGGCTTTGGAGTTGTGTGAGATGTGAACTTCGGGTCTACACCTAACTTCTCAATTAGAATAGTGTTTACATATGGTCCTGTAGCGCCATATAAACTATCGATTAGTATATTGAACTGTCCCATTGTTTGACCACTAAGTAATTCCTTCAACTGCAACAAATTATTTGTCGAACTCTAACAAACAGTCAGTCGAATTGTTGCACATAATGTATTCATAGAGAACAAAAATTATGGAAAAGTAAAAAAAATGATTTTACTTTTGAGAAATCGAATATTTGTTCCATTAGCTGAACATAGTCTTTCACCGAATCAATAACATGCACCGTAAAAATACCATAACCATCAATATTATAGTCAGTCTTCCCGATTTTAGTAAAATCAGCATGCAAGTCATGGCAAATATAGTATTTCGAAATATTTTTGCTCAGCTCATAGATAGCTTCCGTCAACTACAATAGCAACTTAGTTACGAAATTTAAATTTTATAAAATATGAAAGTTTTGAAGTTTCATCTGATAAATTTGAAATTTCTGTCCAACTAAGGAAAAAAATTTTACTTTCTCGGGCGCCGGGCCACCATTTGCACAATTAAATTTTATCCCAAAATCTGCTTTAGGACCACCAGGATTGTGACTGGCCGTTAAAATGATACCGCCATTAATCAAGTTACCATCTGTAAGTGAAACAAGTTTTTTTCAACCTAAAAATCTATCCGTTAAAAACACCGGTAACTACCTCATGAAAAATTGATGCACGAAATTTCGTTTTACAGTTCATATGCTGTAGTGTTTCCAAGGCAATACGAAATAGCTGTTGTACGTATCCATGCTATCAAATAAGATATTCCGTGGAGAAATTATTTTTGAGAAAAGGAGCAAGTGTTTGGTTAAAAAGATTAATGAGCAAAACACAAACCATTTATTTCACATTTTCTAATTAAGCATGAAACGGCTGGTGTACTAAGAAAGCCATTCTGTCCAATAATCAGTTTACGTAACTAAAAAAAAGTAACGGTAGAACAATTTATGTATATAGTCCATCCGAACTTGAACATGTTTTCTATTACTATTGTCATTACCTTCTTTTCGAAAAAATGGATGTGATGTATTTTTTAAAGCATCAACTAGCTTTTATGTTTGCTTGCACTCAATACTAGGACTAGCTTTTTTTCCCCATTTTCTTCTTAGAAACAAATAAATCACAATACAAAATTCATAAAAGGAAGTCAACATACCCCATTAGCTGCGGCCATCTGAATAATGATATTGACTGTTTCTGGACAGAGATATCTGCCATCACCTCCAACCACTAGGGTTGCACCTTTTTTTTTATCACCTAAGCCCGCATCCAACGTGCACTGGATGAAATTTTCTGTATAATTTTCTTGCTGGAATTCTGGGACCTTAAACGTGGATAACTTTATTGATCTTCTAAAACATATATCACAGTTTATATAACTTCTAGAACATCGGCGTATATAAAAGCTTTCCTCCAAGCTAAATCACTGTTCATCGAACATAGCTGTTGCACTCTTGAGTCGATTCGCTAATAAATAAATATAGATAAATCAATAAAGACTAACATACCCTCTTACGTAAACCACTAGTACCTGGTTTCTGCCCCTCATACGACTTTGTGTTCACCGTTATCACTTTGATTAGATCGCACATCCTAAAACCATATTTTAAAATATAAAACAAAATGAAGAGAGAGCAATATTTCGCCGCTGCTTCCTTCTTGTAAAGATAACTTTCAGAATAATTGCAACAAAATAAAGAGATCACTTCAAATCGTATTCCTTTTAGTTAAAGAGCTAAGTAACATTATACGTTAAACATGAAATTTGAGTATTATTTTATTTATGAATTAGACCACTTCAATATAGTTTCTTTCTGGAATTCCCGTACCTCGTTTATTTAAAAGAAAAAGCATTTTCCAATAATTTATGGATAAAACATCCAAATGTCTCAAAAATCATCCACCACATCATACCTTCAACACTTTTAAATGACGTTTAACGATGGAAGAACTTTATTTAATCAAAGTAGAATTGCTCTGACGATTTTCCGAGCATATATTTCTACCATAAAATCAGCTTTAATTTATTTCTTCTTCTGTCGATGAAAAATTTGTAATTGCATTTCGGAACTTTGTTTATTAATCTCACATTCGCAAAAGAATAATATGAAACATATTTGATTTGAATCCTAAAATGAATCAAAATCTCAAAAGACATAATACTAGCTTTTGAAATTGAAAAACAACATAAACACCATCTGGCTAATACAATGAGGAAAAGAAAATGACCTAACTGTTTTCAAGCACTTATCCCTTTCTACCTCTATCTCATTTTCTCTTTACAAACCTCAAAACAGGGAAGTGCAACAGTTAGACGTACATGAGTAATATCGCAAAAACAAATTCAAATTAAAGAATCCTCGTTCTCTCCCGCTTTCTTATATCGTCCTTCCTCTCCCTCCATTCTAGCTCCAGTAAAATGAGAGTATTGTGATTGTAATCATCTAATCACGCTGATATCACTCTCTCTCTCTCCTTCTCTTGCTTGTAACTAACCCAGGAAGAGAAAGAAGCGTACCAGAACAAAGGCAAAAATCGCACTATCGATACACTAGCTCTTTTGACGTACTATGAACCGGGTGGGAAGTTCATTTGCAAATCGCTCCTGATTTGTTCTCGTGGTTTATGGCAAAGTTTTGGGGCGTCATCTGGACTCGCGGATAGGTTAGTTGTTGGCGGATTTGACGTAGAATTCGATGGGATGAGTATGGGCATAAGTGTTCTACGTTAGCACGCTGTTTCCATGTTAAAAACATCGTGAGGAGTGCTTTTATCTGATAACTAACAATAAGTTGCTAATAGGTTGTCCAGTAATGACAAAGATAATGAAAATGAGGGTAAAAATGAGGGAAAAAATAAGCTGGGCGATCGACTTCATATATTAGAATGTGTTTTTCTGTTAAAGACGTTATTACGAGGAGTGTTTTTATCAGGCAATTAATTAATATAGATCGATGATTATGTAGATTTTGATAAGGGCTATCTATCCTGCGTTCGTACCTCGCTTATTGAAGAGTTGTTATATAAGTTTTGAGGGGTAAAGGCAGAAGTTAAGAGGGAAAGTATGTTTGTATGCTGATTCTCCGTTGAATCAGGCAATTAATTGCAAATTGCTTATAGATTGTTCAGTAATGACAAAGGGTACTTCATCTTTCGGTAAGCGTCATAATAAGACGCATACGTTGTGTCGCCGATGCGGTCGTTCATCGTACCATATTCAAAAACATCGTTGCGCATCATGTGGTTATCCATCTGCTCGTAAGCGTACCTATCAGTGGTCAGCAAAAGCAATCAGGCGACATACGACAGGTACTGGTCGTATGCGTCATCTCAAAATTGTTAGACGTCGATTCAGGTTAGCCTTTTTTCTGTGGTAATCTTAATTTGAGATTCAAGCAGGAATGAATTTTCCAACTCTGGCCATAAATTCGTCATCAACTGCATAAGTTAGTGGTCTTTTAATTGAATCGGTATCGATTCAAAGAAGTGATATATTTTTAGTGCTTCACCGATTTTATCTTATCCCAGTTTGAAACTGATTATTGTGCTGTTAGCATCGGCCACAGGAAAGAACTTTCCTAGTTGGTTTATTTGGTTTATAGCTTCGTAAGCATAAAGCTAACACATTTTTTCTTTTACTTTATAATCTGTTGCATTCAAGTTATCAGTTGCGTTTTGTTTAGAAATCATTTTCGTGAAGGAAGCATAGCAAAGCCAAAAAACCGTCAAGGAACACAACCAACAAATGCTGTTGCAATGAGCTAGAGATTTGAAATTTTTCTTACTTTGTGTTCTAAGTGGTTTTCGAAATAAATTGTTCAGAAATAAATTTATGTGTTATCAGTTTAGCGCTTTTAACAATTCCGAAACCATGTAAATTATGCACCACTTATAGTCTCATGAAAAATTGACTGCGTTAGACATGATATGTTGTTTGCCTAGTGTCGGATCAACGAAATATTGTGCATCACTGAGTGAAGAAATACGGAATTAGAAGGATGCTAGGATGGTTGTATTCTGCCTATGGATTTTGATAGGTTGTGATATATCATGACATTAGGATGTCTGGTTTGGTTTTTGCCTGCGTCATTTGCTAGCTTAATTCAATCAAAAGTAGAGCCTCGGAATTAAATTGTAATGGAATGAGATAATAATGGTAAAGTAGAGGAGAAGTTTGAAAAGCATCAAGGCTGTCCTGATTTTTCAGCTTATCATGTCAAAGCAATTATACATTAGAAGTTTTTACTTTTCGAATTTGTAATTTAACCAGAGGGCTTAGAAAAGTTCGGGAGAGTGAAGTGTTGAGTCGAAGGAGCAGTTATGCGGGCAATTAACAATTAACCTTGGGAAGGCAATAAATTCGGGAATTTCTTGAATCTTGTTCCTTCCACATATGTTGTTTTACAGTGCGAGTGAGGAAGGATGTGGCTGTATTCAAATGCATTATTCATGCGAATTGCTTTTCGACGATTAGTTTATCTTTATTCCTTGAAGATCTCTAGTTCATATTTTTTTACTGGTTTTCCTTGATGCGAAAATATATAATTGCACTCAATGACCTCAGCCGAAATTTCAACTTTAATACAAGACTGGTGTGCGTTTAAATTTTCATTAGCAATCGGTGTACTTTCTGAAGTCAGTGATGCAGGATGAAGGAAGAAAATAAGACCTAAAGATCTTTATCTATCTTCTTTTGAAAACAGAGCGAAAAAAGAATATAAAATTGAAATAAACGTACTTTACCGGATATATTGGCGGTGATCATCGAATTTTACAAATTCATGTAATTTTTGAATTTTTCTCATCTTTTCATTATATATTTTCTTTTTAGAAATTTTCCGATTTCCAGGTTCGAGTGAACTGTGAAATTCATCCGATTTCGTTAAAAAAATTTGGTTTTTGTAGTAGCAGAAACAGTATAAACGATTGATCATCATTAATTGATATCCATATAAATCAATCAAATTGAACAACTAATTGAAATCTTTTAAAATTTAAAATTTTTTATAAATTTTGAAATTTCCGAAGCATAAGAAGGATAGTGGATATTGTAGAAAATTGTCAATTATTCGCATCCGGACTCGGAATATAATTTCATATTTTTAAGATTTCTACTAAATGAATGTAATCCATTTATTAGTAAAATTAATTAATTATATAGCAAGATTGAACGTAGAGCAATTAAACATCAGAAGACAAAGATTGGAATGAATTGTATAACTATAATATCTATTGATATCCATCTGTTCAGGCTTAATTTATTTTTGCATTAGTAAATATTTATGCTATTATTACAAAGCATAAAAAGCAATGGGTAAGTTGATTTTATTAAATGTTAGAATGAAGTTGAGTTTGGGAAGGGTTCGAGACATTCAAAGTTTGGTTTTTCATAATATTATATTAATTTATCTTTATTGGGATCAGAGGTCAAACAAAAATTATCGAGTTAAAATGAAGCTTAACCGACTTAATTATTCAGTTGACAATTATTCTAGATCTTAAAAGATGTGAATATTTGAAATGAATTCAATTATAAATATTATAGTGTTAATAGTTGCGCTATCCAAAAGCTATCGTTGCGAAAGAGAAATCGAAAATGTCGAATGTCACCTGCTTCATATACTTCATATCTCTTAATTTCTTTTGACAAAATACTATTTGTTGAAAAACGGATATAACAGGTGATTTGAATTTTACATTGATATATTTCAATGTTGAATGAATTTTTAGCACAAATAATAATGAAATTATGGTGTTGATGTGATATGGAAACGAAGACGATGATCGTGACAAGTTTTATTCATTTAATAGGATAGCTTTTTGTCAAACGGCCTACGTCAATGTTGCAGGTTATAATGTAATATCTGTGATAGGAAGTATATTTGTCGATGAAATTAAAAATTTCTCTCTATTCCACAAATATATATAAATATAGATAAATTCAATGATAGTCAGGTATGATTTTTTTCAGGTAGAAATATTTCAAATTGTTGTTATTTTGTTATTAATTTGATCCATAATATGCAATTATCTTTAATTAATTTTCTCATTATCTATAACATTTATTTATTGCTGTTTTTTTTATTTTAAATTATTTCAAATTTTATTTTTGGTAATTTTTTTGAATTACTGAATTGGAGGTATTTGTTATTATTTTAAAGAAAATTATTACAAGAAATTATGCTAAAATTTAAAATTCAATATTTATAAAATATTTCAAATTATTTCAATCTATTTTTAGAAAATTTAATTAGTAGAATGAAAGAGTTATTAAATGAAAAGAGAAAAGCTAAATTAAAAGTTTAATTATAAAAATATATAATTTATTAAAATGGATTTTAATAAAATGAAAAATTAGCATTTTAAATGATTATCCATTATTAAATCATACTTCAAAAATACCTTAATAAAAATACTATTTTTCGCTTTTACAAATAACAACGTTAACTATTTGTGAGCCAATTAGCGAAACAGGTAAAATTAATGATCTGTCTTCAATGATGAGCACATCATTAATTATCTGTTTAGCAACTTAAATGGTTAACATCGTTATTTGTACGAGAAAAATAGCTATTTTTATTGACAGTTTTTCTGCTTGCATATATTTTATAAATCTATCTCATCAATTATTGCCTATATCTTTTGAATTACTAATGACAATCTTTTGAATTACTAATGACAATTACTACCTTTTGTTAGTGTAAAATTTTCTTAGGCCTAACAGATTATAAATTAATGAAGCAAATAATTGATTATAGTTTATAATAATATGAATAATTATGATAACAAAAATAATAGCTATTTCTTTTTTTCGTTCTTTTTTAAATTACAATTTTTTGTTTGTAAAAAATTTTGCGTTTATTTCAATTTTGATAATATAATTTAAAATTGAAAAAAATCGGCAAAATAAAAATAATAAAACAAAACAAGGCATTTAATTGCTTAATTGCTTTGCTCTTTTGATATTCTCTAATTTTCTAAGGAATTTTCATTATCTCCTTTAATGTTATATAAATTTCTTATCTATTTTTATCACTTTATCAATGCAATTATTTTATTTTAATTTATCTGTTCAATTAATAACGATAACTTTATTAGCGAAAACAATTTATCTAATCAATTTAACAAAGCTCAGTACTTATCATTTTTCTGATATGTTATAATTGTTCAGTATTTATCACTCTTCTGATGTGCCATAATTGTTCAGTATTTATCACTCTTCTGATATGCTATAATTGTTCAGTATTTATCACTCTTCTGATATGCCATAATTGTTTATCACTCTTCTGATATATTATATTTGTTCAGTATTTATCACTCTTCTGATATATTATAATTGTTCAGTACTTATCACTTTTCTGATATGTTATAATAGTAATGTACTTATCACTCTTCTGATATGCCATAATTGTTCAGTATTTATCACTCTTCTGATATATTATAATTGCGTGATATCATTTTGTCCCATTTCATTTAACTCAAAATTAATCGAAATTATTTGCAAAAAATTAATGACCTCTCATTTGCAATTATTTTTTTATCACTTTTGATTAGTGGCAGATAAAATTGCAAAAATCAATAATTAGCAATAATATTTTAATTACTGGCAGATACAATTAGCGATCAATTTTGTTATTAAAACAAAGGAAAACTAATTTCAAAAAGGGAAATATTTTTGAGAAAATGAAAGCACAGCGTTTTTTTCATATTTTTGAAGATAAAATATATTTAAGAAAGCAAATTTTCTGCATTTTTTAAAAGATAAAGAGCATTTGAAATAACAAATTTACAACTTTTTGAATATTAAATTTGCTCGAAATATATTCTAATCATTAATTCTAACATTTTCAACATTTTCAAATAATTACACATTTCGAAAATCTTCGAGAGAGAGAGAGAGAGAGATAAAACATAATACCTAATGATCAATTGGCAGCTTATTCGAGAGGGAGAGAGATAAAACATAATACCTAATGATCAATTGACAGCTTATTCGTATTTTAGTCTAAATATTTTAATACAGTATCTTCGTATAAACAAAGCAATCGAATAATTAATTATCCTTAGAGAGTTTAATTTAATTTTAGACGTTAAAAGATACATATGAAATAATGAATAAAATTTTCGTTAAAAATTCGATCGATGAAAAAAAATAGATGAAGCAAATTTTTCATCAAATTTCTTCATTCTTATTACTAATATTCCATTTCATTTACAACTGTTGCACATCTCTTTCTTTTTAACAATCAGAATTTTTCTTTGTATTTTTGAAATAAGGAAAAGCCTTTGTTGACAGATAGATCTAAAGCTAAGCTTTCTTATTAACTTATGCTTATTTATTTTATTTATCAAAATTTAGAAAGCATATAATTACTTTTTAATTTTTATTAACATCTTTTACTAATAACAAATAGATTTGACAATTACATATAAATTATATAGCATATTATTTCTAGTAAAAATTTGTTATAAAATATTTAAAATAAAAAAAAATTCTATTTTAATCATTTCAAACAATTGTCAAAATTTAAAATGCTTACAAATGAATATGATAATATTAATCGGATCGATTTTGAAACTTTTTAGATTAAATTCGATTAATTCTTACTTTTTCTTACATTCATATATTTCAATCATAAGAATTAAATTGATAAAATAATATGATAATGGATGAATATGATAGATATGATAAAATAATATGATAATGGATGGATAATTGTTGTTAAGCTTGCTTTTCATTATATATATTAATATATGAAATAATTCCTTTTTTTTCGTTTCTATCAAAATTTGCAAAAAACAAAATTTAATTTTTTTTAAATAATCCAATTTTAAAATTAAACTATTATTTTAACGAAAATTATTTAACTAAAATAAAAGCATAATATTTTGTAATAACAAATTAAAATTTACAATCAACGATTACATTCAACCGTCAGAGAAGATATTTCATTGTAATGTAATGTATCCTTAACACTAAATGATTTATTTAATCAATCATTAATATCAATTTAATGCTAACACTAAGTTATTTATCATTTTAAAATTAGCACTAAATTTAAAACGAAATATATATTATCATTAAATTGCTATTGTGATTGAAATAGTATAAACAAAAGCATACAAAAAAGAAAGTGAAATTTCGAAATGTATTTGTAAACGTTGAAATGTGTGATATTTTGAATTTAGTAAATTCTATATGATAAATTTAAATTCTATTTTTGAATTCGAATATTATGCTTATATTAATTTTTAATTCTTTTCATATACCTAAGGCCTATTTGATATTTTTTGCAAAATGAAATTTTTAAACTTCCTTTTCTTTATTTAATATTTATGAACAGACAGTGGAAAAGATTGAAGTTTTCAACATTCGACTGAGACTGATGAATATAACTGCTTGATTTCTTATTTACTTGTTTATTTCTTTTTCACTCATAAATTAATTATGAAAAAAAAGAAGAAAACAAAGTTATCACTTAATAGAAAAGTAAATGAATCGCTCTATTCAAATAATATACAGTCAGCTAATTAAGGCTTTTCCTGATATTGAATTTAGTTTTACATGTAATATTAATTTTATAGTGATAAATAACTTATATCAAAATTACTCTAATTGTAAAAATTCCATTTGAAAAAATTACTTCGTTTCAATAGAATTTTTTTTAAAAAAGAAATTATAAAACAAAAGAAAATCAATTACTCTATTCAAATAATATATAATCAGCTAATTAAGGTAATATACAACCTATATCAAAATTACTGTAAAAATTCTCTTTGAAAAAATTACTTCATTTTAATAGAATTTAAAAAACAAATTTATATGTTAAAATTGAACATTAATTACTTCTATGAATTTTTGCTATCTTTCATTTGTTATAAGTAAAAAGTTTAAAACAATTAAAATTCTTTTGTTTTATTTCTTTTAGAAATAAATAAATTCTTAAATTAGCAAAAATTAAAAAAATTAATTATTTTTTTTTAATTAAATTTTCATTTAATTTTTGATAACATTTTTGGTTTTTTTGACGAATAAAAGTTTGGTAATGAAAAAACTTTTTTGTTTCAAACTTAATTGATTTCTATTTCTTGCAGCTTTATTTTTTTAATGATATTTACTTAACAATTATTTAAAAGTGTGAAATGCTTCGATCGGAAGTTCAATTATTTGACTGTCTTCCATTTCTTTTTTTTTTGCTATTCTTTCTATCACAATTTCTTAATTAATTTTTGTTTTAACTAAAATTAAAAACCTTTGATGTTATTAGCAAATATATTTTTAATTTACCGAAGAAATTATATACTATTGTAAAATTTCCCAATTTTTTAAATCTGCCAAATTTTCTTATTGTTTTAAATTATTCGTTTAATTATTTTTAATATTCCATTAATTGTGATAATATTTCAAAATGAATTAAATTAGAAAATAAAATAATCGAAGGTTGTTTTTTTAAGTCAAAATGAATTATATTGATGCAACTGTTACTAATATCAATAATTTAAAATAAATTAATATAATATATTATATTATATAATATATATAGCAATTAAAAATAAATTGATATTTAATCATATACAATCTCTATGTTAGCTATAAATGAATTAATTGATTGAAAACTATTCAATATCAATTGATATTAAAATTTCAATATTAATTAAATATTAAAAATTTCGATATTAAAACTTTTATCAAAAATTATCCGACATTTATAATCTGACAGCTGGCAGATTAAATTGAAGTAATAAATAAATAAAAATAAAATTGTTTAAGGTATTAAAAATATGAAGAAATTTTACATTAAAAAGTTCTATTTGCAAAAAAAAAGAAACTTTTTAAAATTTAAAAAATATAATTAAAAGAAATTAATTGACTTTTGTTTTATTTTAAACTTTAGAGAATAATTTTTTTTTTGAAAAAAAAAGCAAAGCAGACAAAAGAAAATATTTTTGTTAATTTTCATTTTTTAATTATTATTTTAAGTTTTAATTATGAGTAGTTATTTCAACCAATTATAATGATAAATTAATATTAATTCATTTTAAGTTTTAATTATGAGTAATAATTTCAATCGATTATAATGATAAATTAATAGTGAATCATAATAAGTTTTAATTGTGAGTTAATAATTTCAATCGATTATAATGATAAATTAGTAGTGAATCATTTTAAGTTTTAATTATGAGTTAATAATTTCAATCGATTATAAACAAAAAATATTTCTAAACATATTTCAAATTTACCTGCTCATTCATTTTCATTCTTTTCTTTTTATTCATTGATGTCATTCATTATTTCGAAACATATTTCAAATTACTTACTCATATTCATTTTCATTTTCATTTAGTTCATGGGAAAATGAGAAATATTCTCAGCTCTAATTCATTTTGAAAGACAATACAAAAAAAAAATTATATTATAATTTGTCACAATTGAAATATTTAATTAAAAGCGATAAATTGCTCAAAATGATCGTTTTACTTGTGAAAAAAATTTTTATCTAATTAATAATTTTTTGCTAATTATCATTTTAAATTTCATTTATTTATGAGTAATAATTTCAATTGATTTGATAAACAATAAGTTAATGATATCATTATTTCTTAACATATTCTTAACATATTTATTCATTCATTAAAATGAGAAATTTATTTCTTAAGAATAAAATTCCCTTTAGAAATGAAATATTCGAGGGAAAATGAAAAATTCTTTTGCAACATTTTTAATTGAAATAAATCCAATAAATAGAAATGATAAGAACCGATAAAGATATTAAAAGAGGTCAATTATATGTTTAGGGGTCAAAAAAAAAAGAAGATACTGTAACAATTTGTTCATTATTATAATTAGTGTTTTCTGTTGTACCATAATTATATATTTTTGTCTTATTGCACCTATAATCACCCGCCCCCTTTCATCTATTTTGATGTGTCTTGTTTAAATTGTAGTTCCGTTTCTTTTTCAATGCTCTTTGTTCATTACCCCATTTGTCACATTCATAGCTGTCAACATAAATCACTTATAAACAGGTTTAGTTATAACTTAACAACTTGTAAATCCAAAATCTCAAAAAAATTCTGACAAGTCATTTGCAGTTAAGTTGAGACAGCTGGATAGAATAATGAATTTTTGTTGAATGAAATTGAGATGGTCGAGTTTTTGGCTTGAAAAAATAAAGATTTTATGGTTTGAATTTTATGAAGATAAAATATTTCAGAAAGTTTATTATGCCAGGAAAACCCTTTCAAACTTTGTTAAGAATTTCAATTTAACTATACTTTTCATTCTTCACCTTTGCCCATATTAGAGTTAATTTTCCATTCACAATATTTTTATCACAATCATCAAAATTTTGTGTAAATAAAATTTTTGTTTATTAATTTAAAATCTTCCCTCTCTTCCTCTCTCCCTCTTTTTCTCTCTCTCTCTCTTCTTCATTTCCTTTTTTTCTTCACAAGAAGCAAAATTTCAAAACAATCACTCATATATTCTCGTAATTTAAATTGTTTGTTGCCAGACCCTTTTATAGTTTTAACCCATTTTATGCGAACATTTTTTCCTGCAAAAAAATTTCAACGAAAAATTATATGCGATTATTTTATAGGGCGGAAATTGTTAATTGTAAATTTATTTTGTAAAATGGATAAGTTGCAATATTTTTTTTTTAGCATGTATCTAATAGGTTTGGTCACCATCACAGCTCATGCGATATTCTTTGGTGATTTGGTTTGCGGTTATACAAGTCGACAGAAGAAACAACTATCACCAGCAATGCAACTCGAAGATAGCATAAATTCCCTTTTGAGCCTTAATGAACTGGTATGTTGTGAAGATCATTGTAACATAAGTTTTATTAACTTCTACAGTTTCATGTAAATTGTTTTTTTCATTTCAATTAATGATAGCAAATTTGAGGAATAGAAATTTTTAATTTGTCTTTTGAAAAATATTATTTGTTTAATTAAAAAGAAATCATTATAAAATTTTCAAACTTTTTCATAACATTTCAGGGTTATAAACGTTCATTTGGCGATCGATCGCATGAATCGTCAACAATAGAATTTGACGATAGTTTGGATGATTTGTTATCACTGCAAAATATTGGCAAACGACATGTGTTAAATCCAGCAGAGCAATACGCTAAACAACTTGATGTAACTCTTCTACGTTTGTGTAATCAACTATAACGCATTTTATCTTTATGCAACTAACTATAACGCATTTTATCTTTACAATGATAATGACAAATATGCAACAATCGCGTTGTTACGCTTTTTCAAATTTGATTCTAATTTTGAAATTTTCAAATTTATCGATTTTAAACGATCGATAGATTCATTCATTCATTCATTTAGGTCATGGAACATTTGCTGGAGACAGGCAAAAGGTCATTATCACCCGCGACCGATTTCCAGCAAAAATTAAAACTTTCACAGATGCTAATGGAAGCAGGCCGTTAAAAATAAAATGATGAAACATTATGTCCAATGATGTTTAAAATATGTCAACGATCTCAAATAAAGAAAAAATGGAATTTCAATTCATTATCACGACTAAGCTAATTACGCTAGCAGCAGTAATCATCATAATTACTATCATTATTATTATTCCTCTTATCATTACTATCGATATTCAGTTTTAAAATATATCATTAAAAATTGAAAGAGTTTTAAATCTAAAATAAAATTCTAAAACTTAAAGTTAATTCAAGAAGTAATAATAGAAAATTTAGTTTTGAATTAATTATTAATTCTAAGAGGAAATAAATATCACATGAAAATGTTAATTTCAAACTGTATCGATGGATTTATCACTGATTATTTCCAACGATGAAAATATATATCTGAACGATTGCTTTTGAAATTTTGCTTTTGTTTCATCTCATTTTTAATAATTATTTGCAAAAGTTCCTGTGTTGAAAAAAAAGGAAGTTGAAGAAGAGTTTTTAAATTAATAAAAAGAAATTTTAATTATACAAAATTTAATGATTTTGATATAAACAATGAAATTAATATAATATTATAAACAAAAGAGAAGAAGAATGGAAGAATGAAAACTGTAAATAAATTTAAATTTTTAACAAACTTTAAAATTTCTTCTTAACACAAAAATTTTGCAAAATGTTTATTTTCTTCATATCTCAAAATTCTATCATTTCACAGCTCCATTCAACAAAAATTCATTTTCTAATTATTTACACAGTGATACAAATATGAATAGTCTATGTTGACAGCTATGAAATCATCAACTAAACTACAAATAGCTCTTCAGGAATTTTTGAAATTTCAATGAAACTGATAAATCATAACTGAATCTATTTATAAATAATCTATATTGACAGCTATGAAATCATATGAAAGTTTGCAATAATAATACCAAAAAATTTTTATGCATTTCTTTGATGCTTTATAAAATTTCATTTCCTTTGCAATTTTTCTTGTTAAAATTCTATCACATATAATAGATAGCATAGTTAATTTTATTTTTTAAAAAAGAAAAAATTTATTTACACAATTATACAAATTATGAATTGCCAATGTTACACAGATGTAGAAGACAACAGATATATTGTTTATAACAAAAGTGTAAAATTTCAAATCATCATTTTAAAATTGTAACAATTTCAAACTTAAAAAGAATCTTACATTTCGCTGATAATTCAAATGAAATAAATGGATGATGTAAAAGAAGAAGGCATTAATCTTAAATTAATTAAATAGAAATTATATTCGCTAATTTTTGTTTAATCAATTATTTTTTTTTCGTTGTCATAAAATTTATAATATTTTTAATTGAAAATATAACAATGCAATTGAAACATTTCAAAATAATATCACATCTTCATTTATTATAAATCGATATCAATAATATTTCCTTATTCGAATTTTTACAAATCATTTCTAATTAAATTCTCTTAATTAGATCAAAATTTTTAATATTCAAATCAAATTAACAAAAAAGCATAATTGATTGTAAAAATTCGAAAAAAAGAATGAATGATAAAACAAAACAAAACAAACAGATTTACATAATTATTATAATGATGAAGGATATATAGTGAAAGTAACAATAATAATTTTTGAAACAAAATATTTGCAAATGATTCCCTTCCATTGTGACACACATGTATTCCGGGAAATATGGAAGTATCAAATGGTAATATAAAGAAACACAACACACGTATGAAATTATTTATTTAACAGACATTTTTATAAATGCAAAAATTAAAAACAAAGGATGAAAAAACTTCTTTAATTGGCAAAAAGGCAAAAAAGAAAAATTGCATTATTTTTTGTTGAGAAAAGAAAAGAAAATTCAATCCTGAAAATAATAAAAATAATAAATTGAATTATTTTAAAAAGTTTTTTTCCTTTTTTTTGTTTGAAAAACAAAGAAATAATAATTAAAATATTTTAGAAATACTTCTCCTTTCTTCCAAATAAATGAGCTTAAGCTCAGTACGAAGAATTATCAATTGATAATGTGATAATAATTATCAATTGATAATATGATAATGTTAGGCTAAGTATAAGCAAAAGTTTTTAGAATTTTAAATAGCTTATAGTGAATTATAAAAGTATATTTATGTTTGATGAAAAATACGAAATGAATATGTGTAACGAATAGTTCTTAATTGAATTAAGAAATGTATCAATTAGTTACAATAATATCGAGTCATTTGTTATCGTAGATCAGTGAAATAAATGAAATGAGTAAACTATTGAAAAGTTAAAAGTTAAAAAAGCTCGTCAATATTTCAGGCCTACATTTGTTATGTACAAAGAAAAATTAATTTGAATTCAAAAAAGAGAGAAGGAAGGAACGAATGAAGAAACAATCATAATTTTGTGAGATAAATTGGATGCCTTAAGAAATGAGAGAAATTTTCATTATCAGCGATTAAAATGTTCATCGAAAATTAGGTAACATTGCTCAAAGGCAAATTAAAAGAAATAAAAAGAAAAAACTCACATATATATTCAACAAATACAAATATATATATTTTATCACCGGTATTAAACAATTTTCCTGACTCAATTTCATTTTGAATCCTGCCTGACACATTTTTTTCTAACAGCAATTTCGTAATTTCTTTAGCCTGCAACAAGTCTATACAAACGACACGTCGATTCTGGTACCGGTGATACTTCAAAAACAAAACCGATCACCATTAATGGTTCTTTTGTATCACGATTTGTCACCACCTGCAAAAATTTTTTATTTAACTGAAAAAAATTTAAAAATTAATTATAAAAGAAGAGAAAGTAACCATGCACTACTTATTTTAATAACTAAAATCGCGCATAGGTATTTTTTATCCTTGCATAATTAAATTTTATCGATTTTTTGGCAAAAATTGATAACCTATCGCAAAAATTAATATCAGAAATTTGTTTTACAAAAAAAGTGAAAATGACACAGAATATTTGATAATTAAGAAATTAGCAAGTAAAATTTACGACGAAAATGAGTTATCGGCCAATTACGAAGCACAGAGATTTGCATTATACTGTTAATATTACCTGTAATACTGTGAAATTGTATAAGACGCTATTCATTAACTCATGGCTTTGTAATTTTTTCAACTCTGCAACAAATTTCACCATATATTCACACATTGGTGACCCTTCCAATCGAAAATTGAATTTTCTTCCATTTTCAATCGGTGAATAAATCTGGAAAAGACAACGGCGTTATTCACAAATAACTAATAATTAATGATATCATTAATTTTTAGACCTTTACACTGAAAGCTAAGCCAATAATGTCTAAAAGCACTAAATCCAACGTTATCCAATTATAATTATCAGTTGGCGAGTGAAACAAAATTCGATTAGCTTTGAAAATCACATTAATCCTAATTTTATGAAATAATCGAATGAGGAAATTAATGTGGAATAAGCAGGTATGAATGATAAATTATCAATTGTCTATCGAGAAATTTATCCAGAAAGTTTGTTTTTTTATAAATTTGAACTTACTTCAACTTTTTCGATCACTTGTTTCCCAAAGGAACATACTTTTGTTGATACTGTGATATCAAATCGCTGAGTACTTTCATAAAAGCTATCAACTGCATAAAGAGCAGAATTATCATCCGGTAGAGTGAATTCGATATTAGCCCAACATTTTACTAGGAAAAAACCATCGCGAGGTCCTGCAGCAAATAATTCACCCAGCACTGGAGGATATTTCTCCGCTATATCCTCCAATTTGAAAGTCTAAAAATAAGTAATAAATAAAGTGTCTGGAAAAAGAATTGATTCTGATTTTGATTCTCAATAATCAAATAGGCAAAACAAATTGCTTTTTACGATCAATTCAACAAATCTTTTAATCCTTACCATCTTACCGCCACTTCGGTCTTTTTTTATTTTAAATTGTTTTCATAACAAGAAAATCCCACTATATGTTAAATTTTCTCTAACGTTTGTCATTTTCAACAATTCCAGTGCTCCTTTTCGATGCGGTATATTCTTTCCGCTTTTAACTTCTACGCGTAACTGTTACCTGCATCTGGTAACAATCGTTATCTTCCTTAAAGTCATTCCATTCTGTTTTCCTAACCTCTTGGTAAATTAGATGATTTTAAACAGAAAAAAATCCAAATCTTAATCAAAATATAAACTGAATGGTCTAGAAAATTTAAATTATCTATTTATCTATCAAATTTACGGTGTGTTCAACCAGCATTACAGCATAATATCCGAAAGGAACAACATTCAGGTTATATCCAGGAAACTATGAGAAAGTGATACGTGATGTAGGAATTGCAAATTTTGCGAGACGCTTGCTTATAAGGAAGATTTAAAATGATTATACTGCTAGTATTAATAACCTAGTGATAAAGTAATATATGTCGGTCTTTAAGTAATTTCAATATGCTTAAAGTAAGTGTATGAAATACACAAGGTACTCCAAAAGTTACTAATAAACTTCCCAAATTTCCTTCAAATATTTGATTAGCTTTCTGAAAACTTTGGACGAAATAGAATGAGTTTACAAAATATACTTTCCTAATAATATATGATAAAACCTATAGAGTGTCATATTACTTCAATTAATATGCAGTCTTGAAAATATTACCTCAAGCGGTTCATCGGCAAGTTTCGGTATTCGCACGAGGTCAACCCGTGAAGCAAAGTTATTTGGAATGGGTTCAACATAAGCTGTAAAACCGCATAAGGTAAGCATTGAGGAAGCAATAGCACGGTCATCGACAGGTGCCACAGGCGATAATTTTTCAGCTGGCGACTGTCCATTCAATGATACTCGACCGTTGTTGTAGCCATTCATTCTGAAGATTTCATTGTTTCAATAATTTGACACATGTCCATAAGAACTTAAAGAATCCCAAGAATTTTTTGTGGTTCTGGTATAAGACAAAAACAATAAGAGTAAATATGCTAATTTCAAGTTTTCTAATCATTTAATATTGAAAATAAAACTTACTCGACGA